GATGCATCCTTCCTTTAAGTAGGTTCAAGGCCAGGTTGGATGGGTCTTTGAGCAGCTTGGTCTGGTGGAAGGTGTCCCTGCCCACAGCAGGACTGGGGTAGAACTAGATGATCTCTGAGGTCCTTTCCAACCCAAACAATTCTATGATTCTACCATCATTTAGTGTAAGCAGGCAAAATATATTACTTCTGCTCAAGTAACTACAGTAACTGTAACTCAGTTTACTATTTTCTCACTTTAAAACTCATTACTCTGACATTTCTGAATTTTACAAATATTAATGCAGATGATGGATGGGTTTTGTTTTGTGTAGGTCTCAGTGCAATTCACATGGTGGTGATGGCAAATAGCATGTCCTGCCTCAAACAGCTGATTGCTGCTGGAGTTAATGTCAATGCTCAGGAACAAAAATCTGGACGAACTGCACTGCACTTGGCTGTTGAACAAGAGAACATCCCCTTGGCAGGCTGCCTTTTGCTTGAGGTAAGGACAAAATTTCTTTCTTCCAGGTCTTTTCAATTATATATTTAAAGGCTGTTGACAATCCTTGAATGCTTCAGAATGACAGAAGTAAGGGGGGAGCTTCCTGTTTATTGACTAGATTACTTGAACTGGTATAGTGGCAAAGTTACAGGTAATGTTGCTGTTTTGTCCAGCACTGCTGGTGAAGCTTTTGCCCAAGCTGAGGAATTTAGAGTTTGTGACCCTAACCTGACTGCATATGCCATGAATAATTTGCACTGAGGTAATGCTGGCAGGCACTGAAGTTACCATGAACAAGGTGATCCCTTCTTCTGTGTGAAGTAGAACATGTGCAGAGAGATGTAGTTATGTAATCTGTAAATATTTGTCTCATCATAACACCTTGATCCTGGTATCCTTCTTTCTGCACACCCCAGCTGGCTGTGTAGCTTTCCTCTGTGCCCATCTATGGATGTGCTACCAGCCTGGCTGTTCTGATGAGCAGCAGGAGGGCAGGATTCTGTGCACACCACTCCCACTCCAAAGGCTACAGGCAATCAGATGGCAAAACTCTTACAGGGGATGCAAAGTGGTTTTTATCTACCTGACCTATTTGGAGATACCCTGTGCCTCCTGCTCTAACACTACCACCCTAAGCATGTAGACAGTTGTAGTTACTTTTTAATTCCTTCTTTTCAGGCAACAGTTAAAGAGTTTTTATGCAACCAGGCAGGGAATGGTGCTTACTTGCACAGTAGCAGTGTTTATGCTGACATGAACCTCTGCAGTGCATTGTACAGACTTCTTTTCTTTTTTACCATTCAACAAAAACTTAGGGTGATGCAGATGTGGACAGCACTACATACGATGGGACAACTCCACTTCACATAGCAGCTGGAAGGGGCTCAACAAAACTGGCAGCAGTTCTCAAAGCAGCAGGTATGGAAATAGATCTTTGCTGGAGACTTTTCTTTCACAGCGACAATTCAAGTTAGAAGGCTGCAAGCAGAAAAGACTGTGCCAGTGAACTTGTTTAAATTTAAATGGGCGGAGGAAGTCAGATATTTAAAGCAAGAAGGTCTGAATTTCCTCAGAAAGTCCTGCTCTGAGGTGCTATACTAATCACTCTTCAGCACCATCTAATGGCTGGAAAGGCAAATTATGTTGGTCAAAAAAAATCTTTTGAGGAGTTTGGGAAGTTTCTTGAGTATCTTTTGTAGCTTTTATAGCTGAAGAAGTGGAGAAGAGATCTTTTTATATATCTGGGATAAGTGTGGGACTACTTTAGAAATAAAAAGCAAAAAAAAAATACCATCACTGAAACATGAGCTTGTTAGTGTCTCCTACTGCTGTCACTTTGGAAGAATTAGGTTGGAGTATTTATTAGAACATTTTGTCAGTTGTACATAAACCTGATTTTTCTCCTTTGAAACAGAATCTCAAGCCTCTCATTGCTGAGGCTGCCTGCTTGGTCTTTTAAAAACACTCCCAACTTTCTCTGACACTCTAAAAAGCAGCATCACACCATCCCTTCATCACATGCATGCTGGGCTGTGTGAGGCAACATGGGACTGGGAGTCAGTAGATACCAGAGCTCACTCTTTGGGCCCCAAGGATCAGCTTGTCATTTTTTCCCCCTCTTTATAATGGAGAGTAGCATTGTACAGAGATGTGACAGCATTTAAATGTAATTGAAAAAAGAGATACTTGCTAGTTTAACATAAAATATAATTTACCTGGAGTAGCTAAATTAGCTGATTTGCCATTCAGTACACAGAACACATATTTTAAATATTATTGAGAAGCAACTTGAAGCCCCTTTTCCCCCCCCACACACACTTGTTTTTCAGGTGCAAATCCTCACATTGAGAACTTTGAGCCATTGTTTGACTTAGATTATGTGAAAGAGGATGAAGATGATGATGAAGGGATTGTGCCTGGAACAACACCACTGGATATGGCAGCCAACTCTGAGGTATGTGGTCTGTTTTCTCTTTTAGTTTTTTGGTTTTTTTTTTTTCCTAATTATAAAGGATAGTTCAGCTCTCTCAGTCAGCTGCTTTCATTGCATCCAAAATTATTGCAATGAATTAGATGAATTTGCCAGCAAAAATTAAGCTAATTCAGCCATAAAACTCCCCTGATGAAACAGCACTGGAGGAAAGGTCCACTGAACTGACTAATGCTGCTGAACAGAAATGACCAGGCAGAAATGACCTGAAGTAGTTGCTCTAGAGTCTTCAGTGTGGGAAAGCATTTACCTGGGTGGGCAGCTTGTGTTTCAACCCATTCTCCAATGGGTTTCTTTGCTGAGTGTTCTTCAGAATTGCAGCCTATGTGTGGTGGGAAAATGCATTCCTGTGTTCTACCCAAACAGTGCTGATTATTGTGCATATGGCTTGGTGTTAATGTAAAGGATAGCAGTCAGCATTTCTAATAATCTGGAGCTGGGGAGTACCAAGCTTAAATGAAAATCTAACCCAGGCTTTGTTTTCAATGAGGAGTTGCAGACAGGCAGCAGCTCCTTGCTTAGTCTCTGCTACGGCCGTTTATTTACTGCCAAGACTTCCTCTGTGTCTTGAAAATAGTTGCCAGATGACACAGCTTAAAATAAAGGGATATTTAACTTCTCCAGATTTCTCCCTAAAGTTTAGTACAGGTTTTGTACAGTATTATTTGTCACACTGAGTCTGGGACAGAAAAATGCTGATTTACAGATGAAATTTTATACAACACTGCTGAGACTTAATAGACACTAACCAGATTTCTCCTAAATACTGACTTTAATGTACTCTCTTAGGTGTATGACATATTAAATGGCAAACCCTACGAGTCAGCAGAGGTTTTGGAGGACTTACTCACACAAGGTAACACCTTTATAAAAACGTGACTTGATACCCCTCTAGTAATTGAGCACTGAAAGTGTAGTGCCAGAAGACACTGCCCTGCTTGTAACTGAGTTAGTGAGAGAGAAGAGGTGACCTCCCACCCCCTCAAGTCATAGAATGAGCATGATTCCCTTAAGATGTCTCAAGGATAAAGAGTACATTTGCAGTATTGCAGCAATACATTTGTAAATGCTGGATTGAACTCTCAAATAGTCTTCAGTTTGGCTTTGTTTCTTCTTAAAAATGAACTGGTGCATGTCTTGTATAAATAATAAACTAATATATTTCTCTGTTCCCCAGGACATTTGAGAGAGCTGAGTGAGAATTCCAAGATGCAGCTTTACAAACTATTGGAATTGCCTGATCCAACCAAAAACTGGTCCACCCTAGCACAAAAACTGGGTCTTGGCATACTTAATAATGCCTTCAGGTTGAGCCCTTCCCCATCGAAGACTCTGCTGGATAACTATGAGGTAATGTGCTGCAACAGGTTATAAAGAACACGGATACACACAGAGAACCTAGTTCCCCTGCACAGTCAGACAGCACAGCCCTGCAGTTCTAGCCAGCCTGGATGATGCTGAGTGTGTGATGTCTGCTCTTTCAGGTGTCTGGCGGTACAGTTCAAGAGCTGATCACTGCTTTGAGACAGATGGATCACACAGAAGCCATAGAAATAATTCAGGAAGCACTGTCCATCTCACGCAGACCACCTGCCCTGGAAGACAGCACAGCAAAAGCTCTTCCGTCATCATCACCACTCACCTTTGCAAATGGAGAGACAGGTAAAATTGATGGCAAAATATGAAGACTTCTATTTATTTAAGACTTTTTTTGATTTTTCCCTCCCCACTCTATCTAGGACTGCAAGGATTGCACACCTTCTTGCACATACTGCTTCACCTGCTTACTAGTTTCAGAAATACTTTGTTGCTCTCACCATAGTTATCTGCGAGGCATAGGAAAGAGAGGAAATATTAACCACTAGAATCAGCATACCTGCATCACAGTATTCATTGTACTGCTGTCCTTTGCTAAAGCCAAACACCTGCCATTTGCTAATGGTAATGCCTTGGATGTACTGAGAGTATAGGCAATTATCTCCTAGGTGTGTAAAAGTGCCATTAGCTTTTTTACCCCCCCCCCCCCCCCCCCCCCCCCCCAACAGCGGCATTAAAAAAAGTGGTTTGGGCTCCTAAACTTCTCAGTAAGACTTCAGTATTAAATTTCTCCTTCAACAATATGTAGCACTCCAAAATGGCCCAGTGTTCTGTAGGCAAAGAAACTGGGGATGGCTTAGGTTACACAGGACCTCAGGCAGTCCTGCTGGCCAGCTACCTGCTCAGAGCATGGCCAGTGGAACATGAGGTTGCCCATGTTACGTCCAGTTGAGTTCTGAGCACCTTCAATGATGGAGGTCCTGCAGTGATTTTGGGCAGGGAATTCTACTAAGAGAGAAAGAGAGGTTGTGAGAAGTTTGTCATCAGGGCTGTTCAGTCATTGCCTGGCCAGGTTTAGTAACAAAAACCTTTTTTATTTCCTGTACAAACAGTGGTAGTGCTGCCTGTAGCCAAATGTGGAAACTTACACCCTGTGTAAAAACACTGTAGGTTTTTCTAGTAAGAAAAAAGAAACACCAGAGTCACTGCATTCCATTCTAACAGTGCCAGTTTATTCTCTTCTTATAGAAAACTGTTTGGTCAGTCATGAATAAACCTTCACACCCACCCAAAGATGTGCTTGTACACATATTGCCCATTTAGATTCATCTTGAAGGGTAAGAGAGGTTCTGCTCCCTCTGCAACATGGAGGGCATCATATAGTTTATTTTAAGATGTTTATTTAGAAAAACAAGACTGAACTCTTAACATACCTCCACTGTTTTAGTCACACGGATCCCACATTGTACCTTCAGTTTCAGCTCTTGCAGTCAGGCACTCCTTCTGTGGATCCTGCACAGGTATAGAGGCTACTGCCTTGTTCCTATTTTGGGGTCACTTACTAGATAAAAGCTCTTCAAGTGTTTGTCTCAAAAAGAAATCTGTAAGTTGAAATAACATGAATTAGAAGTTTTAGGAGCCTCCTCCTGGAGTTGTACACTTGCACAGAGTGTGACTCTGAAAGCCAGAGAACCTTCTGCCCTGTGCTCACCACAGTTGGGCAGAGTTCTGACCCAAGTGCACTGACAGCATTAGTGTCAGCAGAGCACCAGGCTTCTAATCCCATCTGAACTCCAACTGCAAGCTGATCTCTGCCAGCAGTACGTAAGATCACATGCTTTAGTTGCCTGGAAACGTTCAGTACAGCTTTTCCTATTACAATACCTCACATTAGACTTATTTTCCTATAGAAGAGTTTAACCCTCGTGGTTGGTATTCCTTAGGCTTTTCTCTTTTAAGCAACCTTGCTTAAGCCACACAAATGATGATGTTTCCCTTTTCTCTGTCCCTCAGGTGAGCTCTTTAATAGCAGATTCCAAGACCTCGAAAGTACCTGTGACAGTGGTGTGGAGACCTCCTTCCGCAAGCTGAGCTTCACTTCCTCAGACTCTCTGACCAGCAAGTCCTCACTAACACTTGGCAAAATGGCCCTGGGCTATGGACATGAAAGTTCAGGGCAAAGCAATTACATAGCTGACTAGTGATCTTCAATTAGCAATATGCAATTACAGGAACAAATGGGACATTTTCAGTGTCCTGGCCAGCGGGAAGGGAACTCACAACCAAAAGTGCACTGGAAGAATCCCACCTGAACCCGAACAAATGGCAACTGTAGCATGTGACTCCTAGCCACTGCTTCCTTCCTCAAGTACATTTAATTGTGTTCATTTACAAGCCATTTACAACAACCAGGGCTCCACTGCTGCATTAATACACAGGTCTGGATGCTGTGCAAGACTGACTGAGCTTCTCTGGTCTGTGAGGATTTTCTTTTACAGATAAAAAAGAAGTTGTTAATGAATAATATAAACTTACTAAAGAGGTTAAGCACACGAGCAATCAGAGGATACAGTATCTAGCTGCTCTCTTCATAATTCTTGCAGCAGAGTTGCATGCAAGCATCTTATAAAATAGCTGGCAAAGAAAAATTATTACTTTAATCACAACAGTGACAACTTGGCGTAAAAAGAGAAGCCTGAAAGAATCTTGTATATTTCAAATAATGTATTTAAACTTAATTTTGGTGCCTCTTATTCAAAATTTTTTTCAAGTTTGACATTTTCCTACTTGTAAATAATTTTTTATATCTGTTCCTTTTTGAACAAGCGTGCTTTTTAAATGCTTTTTTTATTTTACTTTTATAATAAAACCCCAAAATTAATTCTCCTGTCTGTGCTTGCTGGGATTTTTACATTACTTTTCAAGTGGTGTTGAAGAATTAGATGCAGTTTTAGGCATTGATACAAGATCATGCTGATTTCCAAGCACTAAAATAAATGTAAGTTTGCAAGCCACCTGTCTTAAAGCTAAAGTATTTTTTATGGAGGGAGAGCAGGACCAATAGCTACTGCAGCTCTGCTTTGAGATTAAAGCCTCTTCCTTGTTTTAGTTCTCATCATTATGGCAGTATAGAATAATTTACACTGAAACCAACTATTTAGTGTCTCAGCAAATTTCTGATGAGACAGCTCTCCTTTGGGCTGTCTAGAATCTCTGGTAGTAATTGTGCTCATGAGCAGTGTTTCTTCTTGTCTGACATCAGTTCTGAGATGGTGAGTGTCCTGTAATTTATGTTGGCCCAACTAAACAGAACAGGCATCAGAGTTCATGGTGAAATAGCCAAGAGGGTCATTGTCACTTACTTCTAGCCAGTATTTGTGACACAAAGATGGAGAGTTGGCAGGGTGGTTCTTGGCTCAGCTCAGTCTTCAGTAACCTCAGTGTCACTCCTGAGAAAATGAATCAAAATAAACTTTGAAAATGGTTACGTTTAGAGTGGTAGCTGCTGTAATGAATTGAACTATGACTAATGAAAAAAAACTTGTGAATTAATTTTATAACCCAGCTGAATTACTGAGAACATTAATTACTTCCAGAGAAGATGAGTAATAGTAAAACTGCCATTCTGTCTTTCAGTTCTTCTATCTATAACCCTCATCTAGGCAGTGTCTAAGGCATATAGATTTTTGTTCAATTAATGTACTTCTCCAGTGTTCTAGTTGTATTCCAGCTCTAATAGAAAGAGGCAAAGGTTCTCATATTCCAGGAGTGGAAGGGCTTTTTGAGCCCCAGGAGAGCTGTTTGAGTAAAACACACCTTCTGCTTCCAAAGAATTTCCAACACAGTTCAGGTGGCTGACAGAGATTTTTACTGAGATTTCTACAATCCTGCAGGTCACCAGGGCACCCTGGTTGTTATGCACACCTTTTAGCTTAGTTCTGACCGGCTCTGCTTTTAAACCACCTGGATCTAAATTTCCTTAAAGCCCTTCATGACCAGATGTTGTTGCATAATAGCTGTTTATCAGGTTAATGATCATACACAGGAGGTCCCCTAGGCCCTGTGTAGGGAAGTGTATTAAATGACAGTCTGGCAGCTTCTCAGTTTCAGTGCATTTAATAAAAAGGCTTTAATCTTTTTAGTTTTTTTCCCTTTGTTTAGAGATAGAAAAATACTACTGAGCGTGTCTGTCTACACATGGCTTATAGAGAGAAACCTCTATCTGTATGTGCAGTGGAAGAGAGCTCACTCTGTTATTCTGCTACTCTGCTGCAGTAATAAACATCAGAAACTTGTGGAAAGCAGCAAAAGTTGTGACAATAGATCTCTTCAGGTTTTCTCTACATTTCACATAAAATGAATGATTCAGAAAGTTAAACTGCTCCTGATTTTAGATTGGCTGCTACAGCTGTACGTTTCCTGGCATCATCTTGGTATGTATGTACAAACCTGGAAATCACTGGTAGTGGGAAGCTCTAGGCAGCATTCTGAGATTCTGTGGATTGCAAGAAGGATAAAGATCTTACCTACATGTAGTGGTGTAGGAACTGTCTTTTCTCCATTGCCTGGAAAGTAAAATGCCTTTTTTCACACATTTAAGAAATAAAGAGCCACTCTCCTTGCTTCCCCTAAGTAAGGTGACAGGAATGGTTGTGCCCATTTGCTAGCTCAGTGTGCAGTGGTCAATACTCACCCACCATCCACAGCGTCTGCCCTTTCTGGATGATCATGTCTGGATGAAATAAAGCAGTTCTAGAGTAATGGCAAATGGCACAGTCCAAACTTTTGCTGGCTTCGAGACTCCTCCTACAGCAAAAGACAACACAAGTTAATTACCAAGGAGTTGATTTTCTCCTTTCAGCATTATGAAGCAGTCTGATGTCCCACTTGGAGCCAGGCTGGAGTATGTTTTTCCAAGTCTGCAGAGGATTCCCATGGGCTCATTTAAACCTATGTGCTATAGGATTTTTCAGCCATCCAGTCACCTTTGCCATATGCACAATGCAGAAGAGCACTAGCTCACGTACTTAAAGGTCTCTATTGACTGACTCTACTTCTTATAGAGATGGCTTTTTTTCATTTAAGTTTTGGTTTTCTACACTAATTGAATGAATTTGGGGCTTTTGTTTTGCTACCTTGTAACATCTGACTGGAAAGCAGGGTTATGTAAACACAACTCTTGGATTGAAAACTGTTCTAAAAATTTCAAACCATGAGTTCCTAGTACCCTAAGTGGGTAAGAAAGAAAACAGTGATACTGTTTATTTCTGACAATAAAAAGGCTTGCTTGTAAGCTTCAAACCCCAGCTCTCCTGTACTGAAAATAAAGTCATTGGCCCATTTCTCTGCTCCTGACACTGATTCAAGTTGCTACACATCTCCAAACCAAAAGGGAACTAACAGAAGTAAAAGTATGGAAGAAAGATGTGCCTCTAAGGCAGAAAATTTGTCCAGACCACAAGGTATGCAAACAGCAGGCAACAAGAAAGACTAACAGAGAACTATGAACACTTACTTAGAGAGCAATTTTTAGATACATTCGAATGCTTCTTTCCTGGAGAAGATGCAGAACTTGAAAAAGCTTCCAAGGACACGCTTCAGTAAACTGGAGCAAAAAAAGTCTTCCTTGTGTGTCAAAAAGTACAAACAGGTGTCCTCCAAAGCTCAAAATGGTCTCTGCAAGCCCAGAATGTGTTCACAGTTAAATCCCAGCCAGAGAATGATTTTAGGGCAACAGATTAGCCAACACCATACAGTTTTCTGCCCAAAACTGTTCTCGAGTTCTGTTCTGGAAGGGCATTTATCATGGCTGTAGGGCACTCTGGCTGCTGCTTTTGCCATCAGTGGAGAACAGCCCAGACTGGCCCAGGAGCAAACAAAAGCCATCAGCACAAGAGAATTCACTGGTACTTAACAAGACTGCAAGGCAGCAATGAAAGAACACTGACAGTAGAACACCAGTCCCCAATGAAAGGCACCAATGAAAGAACACCAGTCCCCTCTATTGCTGCCACCAATAATGTAGTGATACTGAGGACAAGCACCACACCTACCAAATACTCTCCTAAGGCTCCTGCTGCCAAACCCCCATCAAACACAATTGGCAATACAGGTGCTGCTGCAGCTGTAACAACACTCAGCTGGCAAGATGGGTGTGTGGATAGGAGGGCAGGATACCAGTGCTGCCTTCCCATCTCTGCCCCGATCTGAGACAAAGGCAGAGCAATGTAACCAGTATAGCACACGATGCCACTGCTAAAGTACCACTGGTTAACCAAAACACACCTTACAGCCACTGCTGCATGGTGAGAGAACAGCTTCTGTAAATATACACCTACTACAACACCAGGAAACCAAAACAACATATTAAGGATATTAAAACAATAATGGCAGTCAACCTTCCCCTTTAAATTCTGTTTTGAGTTCAAGTATTTGGCTAAAGCAATTGCTAATCTTTCATAATGGCACTTAGTGCTGAATGAAAGATTTTCAGTGAGAAAGAAGAGACCTACTCCTCAGGGAGCTCCTGACCTTCAAAAACAGCAATAATTTTAAAAATCGCCCAAACTCTGCTCTGTCAATCTGGTAATTGCAGAAAGCAATAGGGAAAAAAAAATAATAGAATGCTGTTATGTACAACTGTGTTGGCAGAATTCATTTGTATAGCCACTTCATCGCTTATTAATCATGTACCACATCATTTCTTTCAAGATTTTACCTAAAAATTGTGACAGGCTAGATGAGGTCACAGCTATCCAAATTAATGAACGGGTTTTGTTTCTGGGAATCCAAAAGTTTTTCTACACATCTCAGACTTCACTGATAAGCTGAGACGAACAAATATCACTGATCTCCAGATAGGTCTCTTGATTGTCTGTAAACAAGTGATTCCTCCAAAGTCTTATTTATTTAACACTACTAAGTGTCATTTTGAAAGTCTATCTAGATGTTGCTGGAAGCGACATTTCTCCATCAATGTAAAAGAAAGACATCGAGACTTACCCTCTTCCTAATACACTGCAGCAGTAGCTAATAATCATATTTTCTCCACTTTTTTTTTTTTTTTACTTTATATTGACTTTACTGCTGTTTTGATTCCACCTTGATTCCAGGACGCCAGAAAAAACAGAATTATTTTTCTGGTATTCTTAGCCCATGATGCCTCTCAGAATAGCTTTTTAATTTCCTTTGTCAATGCCTGCAATTGTTAGGTTTTACTCATGACTGTCATTTTCCCTATTTTTAAAAATCTATAAACATTGGCATATACACATCCATATTTTGATTGTTTTCATGTCTTCTTTTAATTAGGACTTGTTTTGAACCAGATGCAACTGCAGTTAGTTGTTTTGGTGACCCAATAAAGCATTTGTAAGAAACTCCTAATTAATCATTTCCCTTTCATCTACAAGTTCTTCCTCTTGCTCAGGAGTATGTCAGTTTTGGTTAACACCAAAGCATCAACATGTTCATTACAACTGTGATCAGTACTCGAGTCTGAGTTCTCCAGTGGAACACAGAGCTGCTCCCCCCACACGTGCTCCAGACCCCCCACACCACCAGCAAGTAATGCCCACGTGCTGCTTCCACAACAGCAAGGGACATCAGGGACAGAACTCTTCAAACTCCACCTATTGTCATGCTGATTCTGCTTTGCAGGAAAATTAGAATTTGCCTGGGTGGACAGAGGATGCTTGTGGAGCCCCAGCAAGATCCCAGCTGTATTTCAAACCACAGGTGACACAGAAGCCAAATGTTTAGCAACCTGCCCATGGAATGGCTTGGTGGCCTATTGGAGGTAGTCCCAGCTTCACTCCCTGTCCTTCTCCCTTGCCCTCAGCATACCTTGCTGTTATCCTAAAATGAATCTCCACTTATTGCATAGTGAAACCAGAAAAAAAAATGGCTGTGCTTTCAATACACCACATATATTATATGTAAACTTTGCTGTTGTTATCTTTACATTGAATCAGCAGTTAAAATTCACATGACAGGAAGAGACAGTGTGCTCTTCAGCAAGCTCACAGTGCGTGTCACTTCAGCTTCAGCCAAATTCTTCTTATTTTTTTATCTCCTCTTGTTTCCTTCTTTATTTAGAAGGAAATGAAGTATTCTCAGACAACATCCAGTAGGGAGGTCAAGATTAGTGAACTTTTTAGCTCTTCAGCACTGGTAGGTTCCCAAGGATAAAACACAACCATTTTCTTCTTTTCAGTCATGAGGAAACCATTATCACTAAATCTGCCTTTTATACTCCCAACATCCAGAGTAACAAAAGGAGCAATTGCAGTGGTCTGAAGAACAAATACATAAATGTCATCTTGTTGGGATACAGAGGCCTGAAAGAGAAATAAAAATATGTATTATTTAAAAAATACGTGTTAAAGAAGATCCCAGTTACACTTAAACTGGGAAAGACCTGCATGTCAGTAAAACAGGCTGAACAACCAAATTTGATCAGAAATGGTATTCTTCATATGTGAGAATTATGTAAAAACTGCAAATATTACTAGAGCCTTCCTACAGAATAATACAGATTGTGGAAAAATGCCAAGAAGTATTATCCCTTTGCCATCTTCTTCTGAGAATAACTGAATAAATGGTAATCCAAGTTCTACATAGCACTGATATCCCATACCTACTGCAGTGAAAGAGATTTGTCCTTTCACCAACACTTCACTCAATTTATCAATTCACATCTACTAAATGAGCTTGCCCTTTCAATTATGTACATAATAGAAATACACAGAAGCAAAAGATGGTAAAAATACTAGTAAGACAGAAAGACATCTCATCTTAATGCATCATGCCAATGAAGCCCTTATACTTTATTTAGCTATATATTTTAATAATAGTTGTAAAATAGAAGGTCAAGCTATAATGTTTTGTATTACGTTCTATCAGTACTTAAATCTCAGAGAGACTTTAAATCCCAGACAGGATGCATTTTCATGCAGCACTCACAATTCACCATAATGAAAGATTATGCTACATAACTTTCAAATACCAGTTAACCATCAATAAAAAGAGAACAAATTACATTCAGTGCAGGCATCATGTTCCGGTTACAAGAAAAGCAACACTATTCATTTTTGAGAAAAAGCACACATCCTCTACACATTTTGTTTCCTGAAGAAATATTAATGCTTTTGATGCTTTTTAAAAGCAATGCTACGAACAGTAGCTCTTGGATTAGGAATGTATTTGAAAGTCTAGTTAATTTATTAGTAACTAACTATAGACGTACCAGCCTCTCCCAACACAGTCTTTTTTAAATCACAGCTGCATTTCTTAAAATGACCACTTTGCATTTATCCTTGCTAGCTATCCTTATTAGTTAATACTGCAAAGACAACAGTGTTAAAAGATAGAGGAATGAAATTTTCCAAAAAGGCTCCAGTTGCAGAGCTTTTCTTATTGATATCATTCATAAACCAAAACAAACAAAAAACCTCCCCCCAGCATGACTCAGACTCCAGATTATACCACCAGATGAAAAAAAAATTAAAACAGGCTGATTTATTTTCTTTGTATATTCAGGAGGCAGGCTGTGCTGCCGTGAAAGAGATAAGAAGAGAAAATCTGGCCCATTTTCTTTTTGTAAAGCAATTATGCTGGTCCAGATTCAAAGAGATTAGACCTCTATTCCCCCCTTGTTCAGTTTAGCACTAAAGAGCAAAGCTGCAGTTTGAAAGCCAAATGTGAGAACACAAAGGTCCCCCATCCTGGCCATTTGATGATTAGGAATTTTTCAATAAGATGTACATGCCAAGAAGTGAGGTTTAACAAAACGTGTGCACACACACACGGGGCATGCAAGCTCTCTATATAGACAGCAAGCTTGCTAGGACCAGAAGAAATCTAGGAAAAAGCAGCAAATGTGTTATATAACACTGATGGATTTTTTTTTTTTTTTTTTTTTTTGCCTGTTTAGAAGACTGACATACCAGCTATTAAGAAATAATCACTATTATGCAAATCAGAACCCTTACTGGAGGGCAGGGATTTGAAGGAGGAGGAAAAGAGCACGCAATACTACATGTTAGCAATGTTCACTGATCTGAGAGCGTGAGCACTTCCAGAGGAAATACTGCTGATGATAATGCACTCCACACTCAACTGAAGTAGGATCACCTCATCCTGACATATAGTGCTGTCTGCAAGCCAGAACACTTGTCATGATGCTATTTGCTGTCTAGGGACAAAAAGAAAAGAAAGGAGCAATGCTGCAAGGTGGAAGACAATCTACATAAATGAAAGGGAGACTTCATTCTTTAAAACAAAACAAAGCTCAGACAAAAAACCATGAACAAACAAACAAACCCCAGCAGTCTTATTTGGATAGACATCTAGTGACACCAGAAAAAAATCCAATTTTGAACTCAACCTAGAAGCCAGAACAGCAATAACTAAGGAGAGAGAACATTCAGTGGAATCAGACACTGCATAGCCAGCAAACAACCCAAAACGGTAGGATTAGTAAAACCAAATACAGTAATTTAGCATGATTGATGCTTACACGAAGCTGGGTCTTCTCTAATCCCACAGCATCCTTGAGTGATGAAAGGAAGTAATGGTTTGTAGGACTCCGGAGCCCATCTCCTCCCACGAGACAGAAAGTAATAACACAGCTTCTCCTGGTACAATTTCTGCATCTTTCCAGAAGGTCACTGATGGACTCCTTGTAGATGGGGACAGCACTCTGTGCTTTAACAGTCACACCTTCTTTGGCAAGGGTGCATACGGGCTCCAAAGAGCTCCAGGCGTGCACAACGACCTATCAAGCACATTGAGAGAGCACAAAGCTTAGAAGAAAGGCTACATCTGTGAAAACAATGCAGCATCCTAGATTTCAGATTGCTCATTACAACAGATGTTTTTCTGACAGCACCAGATGATTTCCACCTAGCAAGAAACTACACAATAGATAGAGCATAAAAATTAGATCATTCTAAAAACCTAACAAGAGGTCCATTTTATACAATCTGGAGCTGCTCTTGATCTGCAAGACTCTTTTGTCTTCTCCAGGCTCCTGGAGAGGAAGAGATTGCCAACTCCTGCCAAGGGAGTGCTGGGAAATGGAATTATTGAATGACTAATTTGTTGACTCTTTCCTCCCTTCCTGGATTAAAAAAAAACTCAAAGGATTTTCTTGAGATTGCTCAGATCTGATGCAACCCAACTGGGTATGCTAGAGTTTCTGCTTAATCACTCTTAAACAGAAGCAACCTCCATCATCTTAAAAGGGATTATGAAGGTTATATGAATACAGCAAAATACATTCCCAGACATCATCCATGCATTACGAATACACCCTTTTTAAAGGGCATAACTTGGAAATTAAGCACCTAATGAGAATTACAACATTCTATTTAATAAATTTTCAGTTATTTTTTGCCTTAACAGGAGTGTTGCAGTCAGAAATAGATCTTAACTCTTTTCAAGAGTTAAGTTCCAAACCTTCTTGAAGTGCTATATACAGTTTTCATCAGAACTATCCTACTGCCAACACTTCTCTGCTGCTATCAGAAAATCTGAATTCATGTCTGTTAGAATAACTCAGACCAGAAATTAACAATTTCATTAAATGCAGTCCCTACTCTAAGAACTGACCGTCCAGAAATCGCAACCATTTTCTGTGCCATATATTACTCCATACAAGTAACCCCATAAATCTGAAAATTCATGGAAGCCCACCAGACAGTGCAATGATCTAGGAGCTGACATACTCATACTACTAGTGAGTTATTCCAGGTCTCGAGGTCTGTTTTTCCATCCTTCACACTGTTTTCACATGGGAAACACTTTATGTCAGGAGCTATATCTCATAGTGGAAAATGGTTCTTAAATTCATCTGGGGTCTGGATGCCATATGATTAATAGCAACAAAATGTAACAAGCTCAAAAGGAAGACTGCTGTCTACAAGAAAACACAGCAGTCCAAATACTGACTTAAAAATCCTATCAGTTTCTATAGCATTATCAGAAAACATTAAAGGCATCAATTGCAAAATGGTGATATGCATAGGTGACCTTCCAATTAAAGATGTGCTGTTCATATTTCAGAAGATAATCCAGTCCTTTTTCCCAAAGCATATAGTTTGAGTACTGGTAAGCAATTGTACAATCCTTTCTTCCCCCCTGCTTAATCAGGTTGTCTAGCTCTAAGACCCAGGGAAGAGTTCTATTAAGTAGTGAGGTGCCATTTTTCACATTTGTTCTATTTAACCACCTTTAAGATTTCAACAGAATAGTTCATTTCAGCCTTATACCTACAGGCTATAAACAAAGCAATTCCTTTTTCTGTGAAGCACTACACACTACTTTAATAAAAGTTAGTGTTGCCCCTAAGATTGAACACTGGAGTTGCATCTCACAGTGTTTGAGCATGGCTTTACTGAAGCTTGTCTGTGCAAAGATGTGCTCATTTCAATTTCTCACATCTTTGTAGGAGGCACACAAGAGTGAGGTAGGTGTCACTTACCCTCAAAGTCAGCTTGTGGTCCTCATGAAGATCTGAGACACCATAAATGTGCAACATCCCTTTATCTTCATAGGCCACAGGCAGCAGTGGTGCAAAGAAGTTCTGGGCAAAATAATGGAGCAGTTTCCACTTACCACCATACTCTAAAAACGGTTAAAAAGAAGAAAGACTGAAACTGAATCCAAGGTTCCCTTGTCACACATTCCCTGTATGTGCTTTCTGGTCCTGTTACTGGCAATGCAACATCCCCCTCCACCCTTTTTCACCCCTACCAAGTGCAAAGAAAGACTGAAAGTACTTTTGCTTCCTTCCAGGCAAGGCTCTGCCCTGGAAAAGATCTGATGCCCTTTCAAGCTCTGAGCTTTCCTAAAGTTTACATTTTTTTATGTCTCTGTCCTGTCACTGCTACACTGTCATTCAGTTAAAGGAAGCCTTGAACACAAGTGACAAGGCTGACACAGTATACCACACATAAACCAAGCAGCCGGAACATCTGTGCTGCTGAGAACCCAGACAAACACACTGGCACTGCCACAGAGTATCACTACTATAAAAAGACACAAGATACTTATACAAAGTGCTCTCTTCTCCTTTTTCAGTCCTCTGTTATTTCGTAGAGGACATCAGTAGCAATAAAGACCAAAATAAGTTCCCCAATCAAAGACAATTGTGAGCTTGGCAAAACAAATTTGCCAAGATCTTGAGACAACACCTCCTCCCTGGGAGTTAGTATTCATGACAGACACATGACAAACAGCTCACATAGCTACTTTAATGGAAAGCTGTACCTCATTACTGTAAATACTTTGGAAGTCTGCCATTAAACTGGAAAAGCCATCAATCTCTGCATCCTCTCCAAAAAAAGCAATTTTGCTTTCTTGCTTTGCAACACTGCCATGTAATCATTTTGAAAGAGAAGCTGCATCCATTTCTTCCTCTATTAACATTCCATCTAGCACCCACTACCTGCATTTTAAGTTTGTCCTTGCTCAACCACTATCCAGTCACTGAAATGGCACTAAAAAGAAGTAGAAAGTCAGCTGCACCATCTCACAAGGAAAGTTAGATATTAGTTTTATTCTTGTTTCTGGCTCTTTATACAACAAGTTTAAAACTGATGTATGCTTTATGATGTATGAAGAATATTCTTAGTGAGATGTTTTTGTTGTAACTCTCTTAGTTTTGGTTCTTGTACAAAGCTTTTAGCACTTTCAAGGGTTGTTGTGGCTTTCCCAGGGGGACTTGAACATGCTTTATCTGCACTCCACATAGACATAAATGAACTTGATGAAGAATAAGTGCATTAGCTTCAGTTTAGCACCTTACACATACCTTGTTCTCAGCAAGTTCACAACCAGCTAGCTTGGAAAACAACAAGAGAAGCTCATATCTGCCTAGAAAACCCACACAAGAGTGAACTGTGCTGTAAGATCAGTCTGCTGCCAGCAAAAACACCACTAGCATTCAAGTTAATTGCACTGAAGCAAACCAAAGAGATAAGGCTGGAGGAAAACTTCAGGAAAGGCAGCTGCATTTCTTCAAAATAGACAGTCGATAAACTGATGAACATACTCAGTATATTGGTGCTTCTCAGTACAGAACTGTAGAACCATTTATTATAGGAAAGATCTCTAGGATCAAATTCAGCTGTTCACCTTCCAAGTGCACCATTAAACCATGACCCTAAGTTCCCATGTACCTGTACATCTTGCAAATACCTCTAGGGATGGTGATTTCACCCCTTCCCTAGGTAGCCTGCTCCAATGTTTGACAACACCTTCAGTGAAGAATTTTTTCCTAAGATCCAATTTAAACCTGCACTGGCACAACGTGATGCCACTTCCTCTTACCCTGTCATTCATTAATGGAGAAAAGGGGCCAACCCCTACCTTGCTATGACCTCCATTCAGGCAGTTGAAGAGATCAATAAGGGGTGTGTGTGGGTGTGTGTTTGTGTGTCCCAGCCTCCTGTCCTCCAGGCTAAACACTCCCTCCGCTGCTTTCCACAAGCCTTGAGCTCCAGACCCTTCCTCTGCTCCACTGCCCTTCTCTGGACACACTCCAGCCCCTCAATGCCCTTGTAGTGAGGGGCTCAGAACTGAACACAGAATTTGAGGTGCAGCCTCAACAGTGCTGAGTACAGGGAGACAAATCCCTTCCCTACCATTTCTGGCCACAGACACAAGCCAGGATGCTCTTGGCCTTCCTGGCCACCTGAGCACATGCTGGCCCATGTTCAGCTGCTCTTGACCAGCAGCGCCAGGTTCTTTTCCACTGGGCAGCTTCCCAGCCACTCTGCCCCAGCCCATAGTGTTGCCCGGAGTTGCTGTGACCCAAGTGCAGGACTCAGCACGTGGCCTTGTTGAACCTCATTTAACTGGCCTCAGCCCATCGATCCAGCCTGTCCAGATCTTTCTGCAGAGCCTTCCTGCAACTCTCACCCAACTCCGTGTTGATTGCAAACTGGCTGAGGGTGCATCTGAACCCCTTGTTCAGATCCTTGATAAAGACATTAAGCAGAGCTGGCCCTAGTACTGAGCCTTGGGACATCCCAGTAGTGATCTGCAGTCAGCTGGATGTGAATCCATTCACCAACACACTCAGCCTGGCCCTCCAACCAGTACATTTTCATGGTGAACAGTGTACTCATCCATATCATGAGCAGTCAGTTTCTCCAGGAGAATGTTGTGGAAAATTGCATTAAGGCTTCGCTAAAGTCTAGGCAGACAACAACCACAGCCTTTCCTCATCCAACTGCGTCACTTTGTCATAGAAAGAGATCAGGTTTGTCAAGCAGGACCTGCCTTTCAAAAACCTGTGCTGGCTGGGTCTGATCCCCTGGTGATATGAACAAAAAGGTATGCTCTGGCATTCCAAGGACACTTCCTGACAGAAAATATTAGTGGTTTAAAGAACAAATCTACCAAAAAGAGGGGGTGCTAACAAATTACTCTTCAGTCATTAAACTGGAGAAGATGGGAGATTCGGACTGGGGATGGATTATCTGAAAAAGAATAAAAACGGGGGGCAGTATCTGATCCAACAAACAAAAGCTACGGGCCTTGTATGAGAAATGGGCAGGGAGAGTCTGGAAGGGGTTGAAATCTCTAAAGCCCTCAGGACTGCTACAGAACTTCCTGGAATTTCAATTGTCAATTAATTAAATTGACAATGCAAAAGATGTTGCTAACTGCAGAATCCAGGCAGAGCTCACCACAAGCTCAGACAAGTTACCCAGCATGGTCTGAAGTTTCAGTGCCTGTTGACTTGAATTTTTTTTCCTGAGCGTAATTCACATAATGAAAATCTAGACTTCAGCTGTCTCATATATGGAAATGAATAATGCAATTGATGTAGAGCATTTTCTGCTACTTAGTGTAATATAAAATCCTGTTTCTTTTTGAATGGGTCCTTCTCTCAGTCTCTGCTGTGCCTTGATTTCCAACTGGATTACACAGCAACACTGCAGAGGGAAAGAGAGGAGGTTTGCTACCTAGGCAGCAGAGATCCTCAGAAAACCTTTACAGCGAGGACATCACACTCAAAGTGAACATGGTATTAAACTTCCACAGAATAACCCAAACAAACAAAAACCCCAGCCAACAAACAAAATCAAACAAACCACACACTTAAAAGTTTGCACCATCTGAAAGCCCACTCTACTACTATGACACCCATTGTTTTGGAATGTTTGAAACATCATTAGTCTGCTTAACTCAGATCAGCTTTTAGACTGGTATTTCCCTTCCCAAAAAAATAGAGCCATTTTAAAGAGCCAAAACTCAACTGCTGTAGCAGTTTCACACAGGAAGTGTTTTCCAAAGACAACTTTTCCAGCAACAGGATCTTAATAATACATTTGTCAAAGTAACTTCAGACAGCAAGGAAAACCAAAGCTAATTAAAAAGCCCATATTTTTCAGTTCTTGTGTTGTCTTGATTTCCACAGGACCAGAACTACATTCCTTTCTTTAAGAACAGGAAGGTTGCATATCAAATACACCACGAACACACACCCAAAAATGGATGTAAAAAATCTGGAGGTCAGGAAGTTATCATGAGAAACCTCTGCGTTTAAACTTTCCTGTTATAAACATGCATGCCCAAAGGCAACAGTCAAAAGTTATTTAAAATAGTCCTAGGGTGGTTTTCTTCTTCTCCCACATACAAAAAGATGCTTACAGAAATCCAAGTTCCTCGATTTTTCTTGACTAAAACAAGGGATTTGCACTCTCTGTGGTATTAAACTTCAGAATAGGAAACTAGAGTTAGGTTTGTAATGAGACCCCAATACCCTTTTTTCTGACTCTTCCCTGAAGCCTGATGGCAGGAGTGCAAATAAACAGATCTCCCTGAAATGATTTTAAATTAATCACTTCACACCATTAAATGCAACCCGAGAAACATGCTGCTAGTTCTCTCCTCACCTCAGCCTTATGAATTCAGATCAATTATTCTCCGTAACAGCCTGTACTGGGGCTCACCAGGGGCTCTAAATATTGAATCTGCAATGAAAGCCAGTTATCTGCTCAAGGGAATCTCAAGACCACCGAGTTGGGTACCTTAAGGTGACACTTGTCTGGGAGTGTCACAGCACTCCACCAAAACACACTGCAGAGATGCTAAAGCATCCAACATGGCAGAGCCAGCTTCACAGCTAGGTGCTAACAGTCAGAACCCAGTTGTGATAAAAGCTGTTTACTTCTGAGCTAAAGCCAGAAGTGCTATGACACAAGTGCTGTGCTGTGTTTTCATTCAACCCAAGCAAACATCTTAAAGGTAAAAGTTAAAAGGAGAAACATTTGCTACCTTCTTCCTTCCCCACCATGTGCAAACATTTCTTCTTTGTACCGGAAATTATGTAAACCCCTCCATGACTTTCTGCAAAGTAACAGATTTTAAAAAAAGCACTCATTGATGATACTACTGTGCCACCTAACAAAATACAGAAACGTGTTTTTGAAGTGCAAATAAAACTAATTTCTCTGAAGTCTTGCATAATTTCAGCCATTAGCATTTCAAAATCCCTCTACCACACTGCCTAATTAAATGAATATTAAACCTTTCCTCATCTCACTGAGGGAATACAACAAAACAAAGGGACAGCTGTATCTCTGCTGAGCTTCTTTCTTCTAAACTTCAACAACATATGAATAATTCAAGTATTTGATAAATATTCTACAGTGATGCCATCTCTGTACTCAAAAAGAAATTTATGGTCTCCACGACCACTACATCTATCAATACACCTGTCTTTACAAAGGGACACCTTTCCAAGCATCTTTTTCTCTTGAGGCACTTAAAACCTACCAGCATCACTCATTGCTAAAATCATAAAAGAGAACATTATGATATTCCATTTCCTAATACAAGTCTAGAAAGTCCAGAGAGATGAGCATCATAGCTGGACCACTGCCTTAACATTTAAATAAATTAGCCTCTTTCTTCTACTGGTTTTTGCTTTATTGAAAAAGAACAAAACGGGAAAGGGACAAACATCTCCCAGAAAAAGCAGGGGAGGATGGTGTGGGTTAATTTTTTCCCAAACCCAGGTCAAATGGCATTTTATTCCAAGGGCACACCAAGACTGTCAATAGACAGTCTTAATTTTTCTCTAAGCTTTTTCTAGTTTGTTCATATTTTTTCACACATGAAATGCTTAAATAAAGATTTTCAAAACAAAAATATGTGAGAAATAACTAAAATTGAAATAGAATTTACCCAAGTCCTATACAGCTACCATAGGACAACTTCTCCATTTCAAAATGGTTTCTAGACAAAATGTTTGGAATATGAAACACAGCTACTTCCATCACACCACACATTCTTCCCCTACTTCTTACTGCCTAAGTGACTTATCTCTTTATATGTCTGAATATTTTTGTGTTATACAAGGGAAAAATTCTGTGTAAATAGCATATTAGCAGAATAATTTAGTCATGAGGAGTGATTCACTTCATCTGACACCAAGTTAGACATCAAATCTCAGGCAGTCATCTCCTATAAAAAGCTTCTCAGAAGTTATGTCAGGTGAGAGATACCCCATGAAGTTGTATGAAAATCAAATTCACAATGGAGAAGAAAATTCATTCCAGCTCTGAGACAGCAACGGACACAATGAATCACATTTGGAGATAACCATCTCTCCCCCAGCTGACTACAGAAGAAATCCAGATGCTCAGTTTTTACATCATAAATCCCATTGTGTAACGCATTTCTAAAGGATGGACAGAAATATGTTCAAAGTTTGTAAAGGTACCCAAGAGACAGAACAGAGCTGTATTTCTTATTCTGATACTTCCAGATGAGGAAAGCACAACTGGTAGCTGGTCACAAACTTACCCAAGGAAGCCCATGAAGGAGCCTGCCAAATGTCATTGAGTTGCCAGTACAGAGCTCCCATTGTGTGTCCTTCTCCATTAATTATTTCACTTTGACTAAAACGATAGAATTCAGTTTCTGTCTTTATACACTGAGCCTGCATCACCTTGGTCAACAAAGAGATAAAAATTATTTTTGGCACGTTGGATTTTACTTTTTTTCCGAAACGTGTGAATATATTGGTACACAACACAAACTTCACAGCAACAGCATATAACTTTAAACTTGAGCCCTGAGGAGTATCCACCTGCAGTGCAGGTGGAATTCTGCTGGAAGGAGATCTATTCCTAGCAGCTCCCAACAGCTTTGCAAGCAGTACTCTTCAAGAATCTCATATGGGGCTACTTCCATGATCTTTGAAACGCAAACTGAAGACAAGGAAAATAAAATGAAATTTTAAATAAATATTTTTTACATTGATTTAAATAACCCCCTCCAGAGTTGCAAAATGATGTTAAGCTGCATTGCCTTCTGTATACATTACCTTGGTGTCTAAACCCCTACACTCTGAACTTACATTCTCATTATACAGTCAAAACTGTGCATCAGAAAACCAGCCTTTTTTCAGCTGCACTCCCACTCCTTTTCTCCTTCACATCAGCTAAAAACCACTTTTCAGAATTTTTCATTGGCCAAGTTCTCAACAGGTACTAAACTGACTGATATGTTCTTCACATAGTTTATTATTAGGCTGGTGAAATACAAAGGAATTCTTAAAATAAAGTTAAAAGTCTTTAGGACAGCCCAAATAGCAAAGAAATTACTTCTAGTTAACTACTAAAGCAAGTTTGCTTTCTTTATCTTTTTTGCTATCCTTATTTTGGTATTAAATTGTTTAAACTGTTAATAAGGCCTTGAAAGACATAGACTTAAAGAAATACTCGCAGCTTTTTTGAGTCAGGTCCTCATAGTGCAAGCTTTATCCCGGTTTCAATTTCAAGGCATCATCTATCCTTGTTCTCTTGTCAAGAGTGCCAAAAATTCTCAAGCAATTTTGCTTTTATATAAAACTTGCTGACAGCAGCTCTCAAACATTAGAAACTTAATGAGTGTGTAGTTATTTCCATCAAGAGTGTTTCTCAAATTCTTGAAACACACCAAAAATTAACAGCACTTTCAATTTGCATAATAGCATTAGAAAGTTACTTAGCATCTTTTAAAAATTGCACAGAAATCACAAATAAAGAAGCAAGCATGATGTAGGACTACTATGAAGGAATAGCAAAATACATGCCTCTGACTTGAAAAAAACCCCAACATGTATTCTATAAAATATCAATATTAGAGTCCACAATAAAATAAAAGCTACTACTAATCTAATTAATGAAGAAATACATTCTTCGGAAAAAATCTTGCTTCCAAAGCTCATGTGTTCCATGTGGCAAGAAACAAAGCAGTGATCCTACAGGGGCCACATGAAAAGCAAAACATGGAACAGGGGAACATGCAACACTGGGAATAACCTTGTACCATGGAAGCCCAGCACATCCCTGCATCCTCTCCCAGCTTGGGAGAAGGACCAAGGCAGCACATAGTTTCAGACAGACTTTCTCCCAGTATCTGGGTAATTCCCTCATTATTCCAGCCCTTCTATCATGGAAATTGGCACCTCTCTACAATAAAAGAGAGACAAGCTAGCTCCAAATTAAACTGGACTCTCCAGTTCTTCAGAATGGAAACTTTCTGTATAATGGAACACTCCCTAAGGGACCAGGTCCAGCTCTAACAGCTGACAAGTAGAACAAGTACTGACAGCTACTTCTATGGAAGGCATCACTGTTACCTGAGTGAGGTAAATCATATCTTTGAACTGCTTTACAGGATCTGAGCTCTGGGGAAGCTTGAAATGACGCCCAATCTCTTGAAGCATCTGAATATTGCCACCTTCATGATGCTGCCGATGGAGAGAAAAATTGCTTGTGTAGGACCAGTCCTCAGGGGAAGAAACCTTTTAAAAACCACAAAAATAAGGTATCTGAATGAAAAGGTAGAAAGTACATTTAATGACAGCCAGGATATCGAGGAAAGGATATCAATTACAGCCTACTGATACAATCCAAAACCTTAAAACTGGTAGTATATTTCTACAGTGCCTCAAGCAGTCATGCAAAGGTTTTTAATCACTAACACCCTTTGCTTACAGTCCTTGTACAAATAAATGAAAACAAACATTGCTGTTGAAGCCAGAAGAGCAACTTTTGGCTCAGTGGCATTTAACCTAATTGTCCTAAGCTTTGGGTTGGCCAAGGGACCTCAAGAGTTTTGCTTGCATTCATAGTAAATCAGAAACACCTAGATTAATATGGAAGAACGTAATCTAGTCAAACACATTGAGTTATAAAAGTTATATAAGTCACTAGGGCTATAAATTCTAATCGTATGTATATACATTTTCAAAACCTGCCTCTGATAACAAATGATCATAAAACAGCTTTTTTCAACTAAAGACAACAGTGCAGCCTAACTCATTAAGGTATTATTGCCAAGTTTTCATTGTAATTACTCTCTTGAAACAATCTAATTTTTTTCTTTTTAGGCTGCATTGAATAATTTTTATTGTTATTATTATTAATGAATGTTCTGATTATGCTTCACATTATATCCTTTGCCAAGCAAATTGGAAGAAATATTCTGTACTCCTTTTGGTTGCATGCATGACTATCAACATCCCTCCCTAGACAAATGGACAAACAGCGTGCTATGTCTCTGCTCCACTTTGATAAATAAAACAGAACATATAATATCTAAATTTAATGGAGACAAAACCAAATCCTCTTACATGCAATGCATTAAGAAACAGATTCTTTAAATGAAAGAAACTGGTAAATGCTTATATATCAAAACATTTTAAAATTTAGTACAATTCAGCTTTTGTCATGTTTCTCTTCTTTCTCAAATACACATCCCTAGACACCACAAAAGTAAACACATGTTAGTCAATCATTACTGAGCTATACATTAAATAGAATTACTACAGAAATAACAGTTTCATAATAGTTTCTCATCCAAACCAGGTCCCTCTTGTGACATCAAGGCAGTATATTGAACACAGAGGAGGGAAACAGTACGGTTCCATTCCCTCCCTCCTCACCAGTACACACCGCTAACCCATGTACACCATACCATGCCTAACAACACATTACTACAGTTTGCACGCAGAAGTTTTTTGGGAAAAGACTCATTGCTCTCACTAAATGAGAGCAAAGAGGACAGCAAGGTGTGGAAGTCCAGCCTTACCTTTTCAACTGTACTGAAGGAAGGCCAGGACTGAAATCCATACTCCGAAGCAAAACGAGTTTTAGGATACACTGTCCAGTTCCAGCAGTCACTGTTGTAGTCATAAAAGTGTGTGTCACCATAATGGGTGTCATAAGGATTCTGGGAGAGCCAGCCTTCCTTAACTGACTCCAAGCCATTGGTGGGACTGGATGTAATGAAAGGACGACTCTTATCTTCCTGGGATTTAAAAAAAAAAAAAAAACAAAACAAAAATACAACCCCCTTACAAAAGTGATTGGCTTTTACTGTCTGAATACACAGACCATTTTTTGAAAAGAGGAGCTTGGGGGCAGGGAGACCGTACTTCTTCCAAATTTCTGAGTCACCACCTAGGACACATTCCCTTTTTATGTCCTAACATTAATCATCTTTACTTACTTAATTAGCTTCTTACTTATGTTCTTGGAGGACAGCTGGGCATGATTCTGCTTGCTCTGCTGTTCTGAGGGATTCTCTCCTCACATCAAGAGATTTTCTATCTTTATATGCCTCTAAATTCTTAATGAAGGCTATTTAAAGTGTATCTTGTGCAATATATACTAAAGGAACATTAATATTTGAGTACTATGACTTCTTTATGGAAAATTATTACTTTTGCAGTGTTTTTGCAGGAACAAGGCCATGATTTCTCCTTTCTTATTAAACAGTCACCTAAATTTAGTCCTAACAAATCCAAGGTGTTCTGCTTTTAATATTTGCATGGTACAATTACAGATTATTGTCATTTTAGCTTGCTCTGCATGCTAAGATGGATGAGACTACAAGAAGGGTTACATTTCAAATTGTTCAGAGCTGCCTTTATTTATAGCCTCAGTAGACTCAGAATACTAAATCTTTTAACAATAGTCTACAAAGTACTAAAGAAATTCTTTTGCAGGTATAATTCACTTAACACCCTACTTCTATTTAGATATAGGTCCAAATTAGTTACCAGTAACAAGTTACTGCAATTGGCTTGAACACAGTAATGCACTCACACATTTGCTTCATTTTAAGAAACAATCCTGTTTCCCCATCCTTCTTTTTTCTTTTTTTCTTGGTGTGAGTAATTAATAATTAACTGAAACAATTTACTACAGGAAATCCTGGATTCCCTGAAGTCTTTAGCTCAAAGGTAGAAGCCTTTTCAAGTTACCAAGTCCAGCACTACTAGTAGTTACAGGTTTCCTCAGCTGGCTTGTATTACACAGGACCTGAAGTGATCTCCCTCTGTGGTTCCTTTTTGCACTCAAAATCATCATTCTATGGATTTAAAATAAAAATGGGTCTGGCTTGGATGGCAATGTTGCACAAGTACCAAGCCAAAACACCTCACTTTGTTGCACACACACTGGCCACCTGAGTCATGTAGCTAATCACAAAAACACCACAGCACACCTTTACACAGAGCTCAGTCCAGAAATCTAGAATCTCCTCTTCTAAGAGGAGAAATAAACCCAAAAAACCTGTGCAAAATGGGTACTGCTAAATCACACTAGACTTCATCAAGTATTCCAGGTGTTTGTGGACTGTGTACTCGCAGTTTAAATTTTGCACCAAATATTTTACTTTGTCTTCACATACCGTAGAATACCATAGATTTTATTTACAAAATCAATACAATGACTACACAGCATGAGTTCAATGTTTAGCATCACTTTTGCTTTACCTGACTAGAACAAGAAATATATAGTCACATACTAAAGAAATAACATCATTATAGATTTATTCAACTGCCACTAAAAGACCTGAGGGTTGTTAAATGCTTTTCACAGTGTTCTTCAACAAAATCAGGATATAGGAAACCTCATTATCTAGATTAATTAGTTAATGGGCAAGCTCATTTTTGTCCACTGGAAGTGAAGGCACATGTGGACATGCTAAAAGCAGGAAGGAAAAAAGAAGCAAGATCTACCACACTTTCACGTCTTACTTAACACATCACAAAATGTTAAAGACAAGCAAGTTAATTTTTTTTTTTTATTTGGAGAATAACTCTTGACTTTAGAGAGTTGTTTAGAAGAGCTTGGAAAAGACAATTTGTCAAAATGCTCTTCTTCATGTCTAAAAAGGATTAAAAGAAAAAAAAGGTAATTCCAGCTTGCTCCAACATTAAAACCTTTTGCCAAGCTATTTCCTCCTACAGTTTCTTGAAATTACTTACACTAAGGACTATTTTGCGTATGTTCTTCACATAAAGCATCACGTAGTCTTTGACATAGACTCCTATGTCAGAATAAGGTATAGAGAACCAGTTGCTTGCAATTGCTGCTTCATTTTCATTGTTACCACTCCAAAGAATAATTGATGGATGAGATTTTAAACGTCGCACCTGAAATACAACTTACAGTTTCAGAAGTCAAGCAAAATTACTTATCTTAACAATTCATTTTTTAAAAAATAATCATTTTATTCTAGTTGAATTACAAGTCCACATGTATATTACATATGCTAAGCTGACAATTCCCATTTTTTGCCACATGGTTCACTATTCCCTCAGCTTGCCACCAGGCTCAAAGTTTTGTAATATGCACCTTCAGAAGGGAAAAGTTCTAATATGCTGACATACATCTGCCTTATGCACATATGTACCATCCACCTCTACTGAGCTATGTGTGAAGGATAAATTCTGTGCAGTCTGCTTGACTGACTACTCCTGCAAGCAGTAAGAGGAGTTCAAGAAGATTTAGCAAGCTTACATTTTGTGTCTCCTACATAAAGGTACACTATCAAAAACTTCAAAACAACCATTTCTGCAAAGCTAACTTACACAGTCAGTCAATGAAAAATAGATAATGTGAAATAGAGCTTTGACACATGGATAAAATACCTGATGAGAAACTTCTGCTCTTACGGATTCTAAATAATTCTGGTCAGTTGGATATAGCGCGCACGCAAACATAAAATCCTGCCAAATCTACAAGAGAAAGATTTAAAAAAACTGTCAGTAATTTACTTTGCATACTTAAAAAATGTATTGGGATGCACAGTCCTTTGTTCAGACAGAAAACAAATCACATTCACCATGGGGCTCAAGTATGTACACAGTCCACTGTGGTTATCCTTGATACCAGGAGTATGAAATAGGAATCAGCTCCTGACAGCCTACACTGAGGAGCGGAATACTGCTCAGTAGATGAAGTTCTGTAATTTTCAACAGAATTATCAGAAACATGAACACGTAGCAATTTGCAGCTGAACAGATCAATTTCATATTTACTATTTTGCAGGTATAACACCAAATCTCCATTACTTAATGAGAAGAGACATTAATTCTTCTGATGTGGCACTGAGCACACTTAACAGACGTTAATGTGTACTTAAGAAAACACCTCCATACAAAATGATCTAAAAAACAGCAAATCTTGCACAGTAAGGGGGCAGAAACAAACTACATGCTCTAAAAACAGAGTGACCTTTCTCTTCAAAGAAAGATCAAGTAGATGCTGCTAGAGAACAGCAAGCCTTTCAATTCAAGAACAATAAACTCCATTTGTACCTTGCAGGAGAATTACAAAAATGGGAATGGAAACCCAATGAGATGGATAACATTTCTTGTTTACCTGTTTTGTTTTTTAAATTGCCATAACCTTGAGGCTCCTTCTAGTCTATCTCAAATGTTAATGAAAAGACCTCCAGAACAATCATCTTAACCCAAAGGAGTCTATAGGAGACTCCACTTTTCTAAACACCATGCTACACGGAGAGAGACAGAGACCAGCTCCTCATAGAATTTCATTTTCATTACAGTGAGGCTATGCTTTTCCATGGCTCTTTTCAGCACACATTCCCTGAGGAAGCTGAAGATAAAGAATAGGACAGTGGGGGATAATGGAGCCATTAATAATTGTTACAATCTTAACACTGAACAGAAAAAGCAAAGCTATTGCTGCAGAATCACTCCTTTAGTGGCTGTTGATGTCAAAACTCTATTCAAAGAAACTTTCTCACTAGTCCCCTCAGTGAGCTATCACTGGTTTTCCTTAAACACAGTTTGACTCCAATGCACTTTTAAGCCTTTGTAAGACCATCAGAAGAAACAAAGCCAAAAGCCTTCCCCATTGCCTTCTCCAGAATAAGGGTTTGATTTTCTGCATTTGCTTGCTATTTTGGCTGTTAAATAAGATCTAAATCTTATCTGTACAGACACAGATCTAAGTGGCCTACTTAAGGTGCCTAGTGTCAAAAATTAAAGAACTGTAAGTGCTCAGAAGCCTTGAAAATCAGGACACTCATTCAGATCACTAAAATAGATGTAACTTTTTTTTTTTTTTTTTTTGCAAGCACACACATCTGAAAGCAGCAAGGTATTAATTCTGTTTCCCTGTTTCTTCTGGTGTAGATTAAGACCAAACACACTTCTCAGGATTTTTAATACCAGATGCAGCTTGGCCTTCATTCATCTAGTCACTGCTTCATCATAACTTATTAGTACGTGCCTCCAAGCTTATATAATAGAAGAAAAGTACTCATCTAGGATTAGTGATTGCAGCAGGTGTTCACCTTACAGCTACATTTATATTCAATTACAGCTTGTTCAAAATGGCCCCTTGAATAATGCCTTCCATGTTTGTCTTTGGGTCAAATGAAAAGTTTGAACCGAAAACACCCACACCTTTTCAGTTGTTGCTAAAAGGAAGAAAATACTTTTAAAATAAATAAAATCCATTTCCACATCTGAGAAGAGCACAGCTACCTTCTACCCAATGGCGACCTTCTACTGTAAAGTCTCCAAAATAACACTTCCAGATTTAACAGACAGTCTCTGTAATCACAAACCATTCAAATTACAAAGAAATTAAAGAACCTCAATCAGCCAACCAAAAAATTAGGTTAATCTGACCTCTCATGTTGATACTCTACAATGTCCTTTGGAAAGATGGTTACAACTTACATATTAATTTTCTTTTTTTTTTTAAATTTGAAGTGGATTTTCATTTACAAGTTCTAGTCAGTTTTTAAATAAGTATTCTGTGTTGTGCTTACCATTATTCCTATTTCATCACAAATATCGTAAAATTCATCTTGCTCATATATTCCTCCTCCCCAAACCCGAAGGGCATTCATGTTAGCATCTGCTGCAGACTTCAAGAGTAGCCTTAGTCTGTCAAATACAAAAAGGAGATAGACAAGTTTTGTGAAGTTGAATTACTTAAGAATTTCTTAGGTTATACAAAAAATGAAGAAATTAATGCTCCTACCAAAAAACCCACCCAAATCTAAATCATTAATAGGCAATTCACAACTTACAACTCTAACAGAAAGAATCAAAATACTATGGTTTCTAAACCTGCATGTCTGGACAGAGCTCTCAAAAAGCAATTTTTTGTGCAGAAAAAGTTGCTTGGTCCTGTTAACAAGTATGAAATAGATGACGTGACACATGTGTAAGTGCTTTTACAGAAGTATTGGCAGGACCAAATTTAGAAATACTATGCTTTATTAACCATGTTGGTCTTTTCTCCTCTGATATTACTTGCTTTGTATGTCAATTAATTGAATTCAAATTCTGTTTAAACACAATCAGGAATGTGAGTTCCATAATGCATAGCAAGAATGGGGGAGTGAGCAGGTGAGGATAAATACTGAGAATCTCATTTTTAGAATTTCAGGCTTCATTTTTCCTTAAATCATACTAGCAGCCTCTAAATTGCATGTGAATGCACACTGCAGCATGCCCTGTTGTCCTGGTTCCCCAATACCCCAGAGCAAAGCTTAGTCCAAGTACAGTACAGCCCCCACCCCACCTGCATCTCTGCAGGGCTGTGCACTGAAATCCAAGTAGCCTAGATGAGATCAGGAAAAGGGGAGAGGCTACTATGCACCTACATAACCCTGCATGACATGGGTTAAGACATGGATGAAGTGCACATCCTCTGACTACCAATGGATGTGTCCAGACAAGGTCAAAGAACCTGAGGATCATCCCTAAAAACACCTGAAAGGCCAGTAACTATGAACTGCAAGCAATCACTGTCCCACCAGCAATTGCACCTTCATGCCTTGAACATCACTCAAATCTGTTTCTGTTAATTAAGCCCTAATTCTGAAGCCTCCCACCCACAACAATTACTGTTCTACCTTGAAAGTTTTACCCAGCAAAACCAACCTTTGATACAGGCTGTAGAGAGAGAGAATCAGGAGGAGGAAAACATTGTCCTTTATCCTTAGAGAACATCAAACGTAGCTTACGTGTCATAGGTCACTCTGTCCTGGAAAGAATCTGCTGGAATCCAGTTTGAGCCCTTAATAAAAATGGGTCGGCCATTGATTCTGAAGTAGAAACTCAGACCTGGTGAGCCAGGAATAGGCTCCTGAACAAGTTCTACTGTCCGAAAATAAACCTGTGAAGACATGAAATTAGATTTAAAGCTGACAAAAAAAGGAATTAAAACGACATAAATAAAGAAAACCATTACAAAAGGGATTGAACCGAACAATAACAGCTTAGAATTTGGCAAGGAGTCAAAAGACATGGTCTCATCTCTAAATTCGTGCTTGCAAAGAACACACTATAACAGTACTAGAAAGAATTCTTTCAATAAGCCTGTTCACTTTTTAAAGTTGCTATCATATTAAGAGAGAGCAAGAGAAAGCATGAACATACAACTGTACAGGTGCACACAAGTATGTAAGGAAGAGACAGATGAAGTTTAGTTTCTGCAGAATCCAGTCAAAAGTCCAGCTGAAGGCCAGAAAAACAAATACAGTGGTTGCACCAGATCAGAAACACCATGTAATCCACAATTTTCTCTACCGGGAGACTGCAGCAGCTCAGTTTTAAGTCTTGTCCCTGAATGCCTAGCATGAGATTCACATAGTACAAGCAAGATCTTCTCCTTTTACTGCTCTGAAATGATACTTTTTCAATAGATGTAACATTTACAGAGAAAAAAACATCCATGCAAACACAAATGCCAAGTTGCTAGTGAAGGGCCCTCTGGCCGTCACAGCTGTGTTGGAACAGCATGATTAGCAATAATGACTCTGAGTAATCAGTTCAGCTAAATAAACACTTACTCTGAATAAAGTATTAAAGATAAAGCACATCTCAAGCAGAAGCAGAGGCTAAACTTTTACAGCTGCTCTTTTAGCCTAATATATGGCATTGTGATACTGAAACAACTTTTTCCTGCTGCAGGTGGAATTGAAGCTCCCAGGAAATTGTTCCAGACGTTTTCTAGGACTTCACTACAAGCAACCATGCTGTTCTGAGAGGTATCCTGACTGCACTGACACAAACAGCCATGAGGGAACAGTGCACTGCAGCATCACTGACCCTTTATTTGTACAGGTGCCTTCCCCACCTGCCATATCAGCTCCTGCACACCTCCAAACTCTTCCAGAAAACAGCTCAGAAAACAAGGACACTTTAAATATTTTCTCCTGCATCCTTGTTCCAGTTCGACTTCTTTAAGTCAGGAAGAAAACACATTTTCTTTCTTGTACCTGTTGCTCATTATCATAGGGAGAAAAGTGGAAAATTAAATAAAGGGAAGGAAGGCTAATAGTAAATTTTAGCCAAAAAAGGTTTGAGTCAGAAAGGCAGGAACCTAATTTTTTCTAAACTACTCCTAAGACAGCAACCACTCCTCTCTCAGATGACTATTTGCTTTACCTTTTCAAAAGGTCAGCTTGTAGAGTACAGCCTGTTCTCTCTCTGCCACAAGCTTCAGCTGAGGCAAGTATCTGTCAGTAAATCCGGCTAAAATTAACCTAGTTAAGTGCAAATGATACACCTATCTTTAAGATAAAATGCAATTCTTTATTTCACACACCAGACATGGCTATAGTTCAAAAGGGAAATTATTAATCCCACTATGGGACTGCATTTTCTGAACGTTCAGCTTATCAAAAATTACATATAGACAGAAACCTATTTCTAGAGGTAGGGAAAAAGAAGAAAATCACCACTTTTTGCTTCTAAGCTAACTGGACAATCATTAACCAAATACCTGGATAGAGACAATGCATGTGACAAATGAGATGTCTTAGCAGAGGTCGCAGATCACTGAGCTCAACCTAAACAGCTCTGCATCACGGCAGCAACCATTCCTAGAATTTTGCAGACTTAGTTTAACAGGAGCAGTTGAATTTAAATAATAAACAATGTTTCATACAACTTTTGCAGCTACTCTAACTCCTGAAGGCTACAAAAGAAAAACTACAGTACGAGTAATGCAGTAGCGAAAAAGTTCTGACCTTCCTGCAGTGAATTCAATTACTCAGAGAAAAACTGCTCAGTCTCCATTGTGGCTCTTTTTTAATGGAATGGGACTTGCAGTTGGAGCTGCCAAAGTATTTGGGATGTCATCTTAATGGATGTCATCAGGCAGGTTGAGACTGTGTCAGAGTGCATTTGTAATGGAGTATTTATATTACCAACAGAAGTAACGTGATACTGCTTTATTCATGCTCAAGTGGAACTCGTGTAACTGGCCAAACCCAAGGCAATCTGGGAGGCTGAAACACTCAGCCAGGACCACCCAGACAGCAGGAGCAAGAGAAAAAGCTCCCTAGCCTCAGCTCACATTCCCAGGCCTTCAAGATTCAGCGCAACTCCATTGTTCCCCAGGGCCAGCTGGTAACGGCACATCTTCCTGCTCCTACTACAGCTTCCTTCTGCCTTGGGGGGTAAAAGAAGGGCAATGGGAGACAACCACCATCTGGCATGCCTGGCTACGTGCTCTTCTGGCTACCAAGACCTTGGCCACCTCAAAATCTGTCTGGTAGATCTTGCTGCCTGAGGACTAAGCATTTCTCTCAGCCTCAGGGCACACACAAGAGGCTCTCTAGCCACCACAGAACAATCAGCTGCTTCTGGCCATAATTATGAAACAGATACCGGTCTTTTTAATGCACATACAAAGGCTTTGTACACAGTTAGGTGACCCGTGGATCACATTTGGCATTCCCATATTTAGCAGTAGGAAAAGTAATAAGGATGAAGATGCCTAGAGCTGAACTGAGATCACAGAACAACCCAGTGACCTAACAAATTAGCACACAGCATGAAAGTGGTGTGAAAACTACAAAGCCTGCTGGAGGCCAAGATCTTGAAAGTACAAAAATAGCCTTAAAAATGAAAAACTCTGAGTACAATGCTGGAGAAATGAGCATACAGAAAGATGGAGAAATTGAACTGAGAAGCAACAAATGCTTCATGGGGCAATGAAAGAGGTAATAAATTTCTTGATGTGGGGATGGCAAGAAATAAGCAACTTATCAATAGCAAACAGGACCCTCCATCAAGAAAAGCAATGTCACTGTGTGATACGACTTTGTTTCACATTATCCTGAGAAACAAACTCTAAAACAAAATATTCAAATGGAAAACCAAACCACATCCCATCCTAGGTGCTGGCTTTTATTCTGCTTTGTTTTTCTGCTACTCTGAACAGGAACGAGTAAGTGCTTCTCTGAGCCAAAGAGATTCCCAGCACTGCTGGCTAGAGCTCCATAGAGCTCCTGCAAGTACATACTGAAGGCCACCCAGAAATATTCCCAAAGGATTAGTAAAAGTTTTGAAGACTACTCTAGCATGTCAGAATCCAGAAAGTAGTTCAAGTTAGGAGTAGCCAAATCTGACATAAGATCAAGCTGTGCTTGCTCACATGTACATTCTCATGTTTCAGTTTTCTGTTGTCCAGAGTTAAGTAGATACTCATATGGACACAAACCACTTGTGAAATGCCTCACCTCTATTTTTTTCTGGGGGAAGAAAAAGCGAGGAAGTAGGAAATTTATTCTTCCTGAATACAGTCAGCACAACATGGACAACAGAACTGACAACAAAACAACTTTCAGGAACATTAATCCCTGATTGTATCTCCTGAACTACTCAAAGTTCTTATTAAGCTATATGAACATTGCTGTTCAGTCCTGCTGACAAGAGAAAATTATGCTACAACATGAAAACCTGCATACAGAGCCTTTTTCCACTCATACAGCTCTGTCTGGGGGGTGATGGTGTATGCATGCATGAGTGTCTGTTGGAATCTAAGAGATTCCTCAAACACAGAAAGGATGACCAGACCTCACACTGTGAGCTGTAAAGGCCTCATATGCTGGTTAATTCACAATGCCCACTATGTGGTGCATTTGGGTTTTTCCCCCTCTTTCCTCTTAAGGAGAAAAAAATAAGAGGCTTCTGTTGTAGACCATTAAGTCCCCTGATCATATGCCACTGAGCTCTATGAAATATTCTGACACAAGCACCCAAATGGAAATTATTAGCTTTCTTATCATTGTGCAGTTTTCACACAACAATAACAGAATTTTCCCTTTTAGAGGTTTTACAGTTGTATTTCCTACAAGCAGTTTTTCCAAGCAACACATGATGTGTTTACTTGGTGTGGGTTTTTTAATTGTTTCAAAATTAGAACAGTAATCAGAACAAATAATTACAATTATTATTATTACTTTATAATCAAACTAGAGCTAGTCCAATAAAGGTACAATACCAGAAGCTACTAGTTTTCCTAACTTTTTTTTCACACTAACAAATGTTACAGCAAATAGCAGTTTAGATGCCTGGTGACCAGATTAGTTTTTAGTAAAGCAATACACACCAGAAACATCTAATAAATGCATTCATTTATGTGGTTGTTCCCACAATTCATGGCATAAGGAGGCCAGTCTAATCTCTAAGATTTTTATTTCTAATGGACAATTGGAAATTACCTCCTCTAGACTTCTTAGTAAAACCAAACAGATAATTAAACAGCCAGTGTGTTAGGAGAACGCTTATGCAAAAACCCCCAAATGTTACTTTTATGGTGATATTTAAGATCTTACCTTTTCTTAAGCCTGAAGCACATCTACCACATTCTATTAAATATATGCATGTTAGGATTTTAGGAATGTGTTTATCCCATAAATTTTTACAAACTTAATTGGCAAGAAAAATCTCAGTAATAAACCTTTGCATAATCTAAATGATTTTTCAGTGCATGATATAAAACCAAGAGCGTGGTTAATGAAGTTTAGAAGTGCTGTTTTCTTTTCATAAGCTTGAAAACTTAAGTAAACATCTTTTCTCTTCTGAGGTTTCTGGTTAACTGTAAACCATCTTGCAGCCACAATATAAGTAAAGGCATCCATACAAGGAAAGACTACCAGAAAAGAGTAGTGACATTAAAAAACCTCATTTCTCACTGGCATTTTTACATGCATATTACAACTCAGCAAAACATTTCAGAGCTCTAGACATCCCGCTATGCAGAGCAGATGTCCTAACGCTAACAGTGCAATGTCAGATGCAATTAAACTTTAGGGCTCACCTTTGAAAACTTCTCCATCTGGCATCCTGCCTCCATCATGAAAGTTGTTGTCATGTTGTATCCAGTTTGCTTTCCATGTCCATTTGGCCACCAAGCCTCCACTGCAGCACTCTTGAACATAAAACAGAGAAAGTCTGAGCAATGTGTATAACAAGAAGTATCAAAGCACCTACCTACCTCAGATATCTTTGAGTGAATTACCACAAGCCTAACGAGGTTTTGTGCTTCAGCTGAGATATGCTAATGTTCTCTCCAGCTGCAGCTCTGAGGTGAAAATCATTTAAAGAGAGAAGTGTGATTTCTTCTGCTCGAGTCCAGGCTATCACTTCATTTTGCATCCACAACAGGCTATGAGCATGGCTGGACATGCATGCACACATCTAGCTGCTACTCCTCAGCTGAGGTACACTGACACACTATTCCTCCAAACCCCAAATATGTGAGTCAGGAGCAGCCGTTATTCACTAAGCTCAGTATCACACACCTCCTTTCATTGATCCTTTTACCTATCCACCTATCCCATGCAATATTCAATATACAGCAGTAACACTTTTCAACTGTGACTCTGGTAATACGTAACCATACTGCCCGCTTCACTTATGTCAAACTTTTAAGTCAAATTCTTTCATTCATTCCGTGGTTTTTTGCTTTGTCTCTGTATGTTTCTTAATCACATCATTAGTACTCCATAATTTTTACAAACATGAAATACAATCTCCAAGATAACAGAATATTTATCTTCACTCTATCAGCCTTCTTCTGCCGCTCACTCCTGTTGCTAGCATTTGCCAGTTGCGTGCATAACACAAAAACTGTGGAAAGAAAGCAATAATGCATGAAACCAAACAATGGAGGGATCAGCACTGAATGTAGTCATGCGAAGAGTGCCTCAGTCTTTTCAACTGAGGCCAGAAAGCAGCCCAGCAATACATTTTGCTGTAGCTATACTTGGACACAACGATGAATATATCAGGAATATATCTTTCAGCTTCTTCGATACAGAATTCTCAAAACTGCTTGTGAGGAAGCACAGATCGCTGTGCTGCATGGATACAAACGGAAGCACAGACTCAGCGCCTGCCTCAACAACAAGGGAGTGTTCGCAGCTGCCTGGCACGACTGGGTGTCTCATTGGCCACTAATGATGTCACCCCTCTGCTCGCCACTAGCTGATAAGCAAAATGCTGTCATGTTGGCAGCACAGCACTTTGCGTGGCAACTGCAGGAAGGCTGATACACATCTCGCGAATGCACCACTTGCACACCTACTGACTCCACAACGTTATCTGCAATAAGCTCTTAACCAGAAATACATTTCTGGTGAGGTCTCAGTATCTAACATGCACCACACAACTCTATGTACAGAGTAAGGGCTCTGTTAGCCTCATCAATAAATGAGAAGACATTTCAGGGCTTCTCATAAAATCGGCCGATGTGAATTCATGCAGCAAAGCCTTTTGTGCACAAAGAATAATGAAACACTGCTGCCTCTGCTCTGAAGGAAGTGCTTCCTTCCAGGCTTGCAGTTGCACTATACTAACAGATCTCTTCTGAGGCTGGGACAACTAAATAAGCAAAAATAATTTTTGAAGTTTCACTTTGCAGTGCCTGTTTAATGTAATCCTTTAAAAGGCTAACAGAGACCCCTGGTTGCTTTAAATGAAACTGGGTACTGGAAATTGCTCATGTAACTTGCATGTCAGATGACAACAGTAACAAAAACTGTATGTTTCTATGCTTCTGTGTCAAAATAAAACAAAGCACATAAATACACAAGTCACAGAGTGTGCACACTGTAACATAAACAACCTGCTTGCTTTATCTCCATGCAAACAACTGAACTTAAGAATACACACGGACAATGCAATCACACTGGGAAAACAGATGCAGTGTTACACAACAATGCAAAAAAACTGCAGAGCCAGTAAAATATAAAAGATCTTGAAGGCAGACTAATGCTACTAACTGCCAGTATTGTCAAAAGCCCCACATTTCCTGCTCACAGCACACAAATATGTGTCCTGCAGCACTGAAGCTCCCGTGGAGAACTCCATCAGGCACGGCTCCTGCTGCACCTGCTGAGGCTCCCACTCTGCCCACTGGCTGGAGCCTGATTTTTTAATTGAGTTTGCTCCTCATTAGAGCACCTTCTACCAGTCAAAAATTCCTCCTGAGACTTGCCTATCCAAAGGACTACAAGTGAATATAAGGAGTATTTCTCCACAAAATTTTCTTTTGTGTTTATTTACCTGAAAGTAAATAAATATCTACTGAGAGGCTTGAGGAATGTTTCCTCTCTCCCCTGGGAAAATCCTATGTATTGTAGTATATTCTGGTTCCAATCAGTCCAGTAAACAGCAGCATATGAAATACCTGCTGCCAGTGAAGTGACACAGGGTATCCAAAGGTCATTTACCTAAATAACTCAAAAAAGGTCATTTAACAGTTGTCAGTGATTGTGTGACCTTTTTCTATGGCTTCATCACCTTTTGGCAGTGAGCTACATAGCTCCACAGACATCAGATTTTAGAAAGCAAAATAACTGTTCTCCTATCCTATAAGGGATACAGAACTGCTGTTAAAAGTCAGGAACACAGTAAGGAATGGGAAGGAGGCCTAAAACTGGCATGGAGGCAGAAAGTCACACTGGAAACCAGGGGAAACATTTTGCAGCTGAGCTAGCTCTCCACACACACCTCTTTACCTTGTTGATGTTTACAAGCAGCACAATACTGCCTTCTCCAGGTTGAAGCTTCACACTGAATGTCTGCTGCGTTTGTAACTTGGGGATGTTCACAGTCACAAGACCTGCAATTGGCTTGGAGCTGACTACATCAAAAATAGACTCGACTTCAAGATACCACTGCTGAGCACTCTTTGCTTAGTGAAGAGGGATAAAAAATGGGATTTAAGAATTATTTTATATACCTATTAGTTAACATTATCCTTCATTAAAGAAAAAATTCAAACACCTAAGACTAAATTTAACAATTTTCAGGCTGTGTCTGAACCATCCTACATGGTTAATCTGCTTATTTAGTGTGTTTGACATCTGAGTCCAATGGAAGAGAAAAATGCAATATGATTTATGTTTTTAACTCTTTTTTTTTTTTAATTCAAAAGCCATCCAGGCTTTTTTTTTTTTTTTTTCATAGTTCTGTACAAAAGTCAGAGACCTTGACACCAGTCACTTCATTAGGAAGGAATTTTTTCCCACCAACTCCCATAGACATTGTATTTGCTTTTAGTCAGCACTCATATGAACATGGTACTCGTTGGGAAAGATTGTAATCACAAGCCAGTACAATCACTTTTGTCAATGAAACAAAAACAGTATTAACAGAAAACGAGCTGAATTCATCCCAGACTCACTGGACAAAATGAATGGAGCTACACTGGGGATGAATTGGGCCCACTGTGTCTAGACTTGACAGGCTGTATCTTTATATCCCTTCTCCCACCCATGTGTCGTGAAAGAAACAAGTTAATGACTTCCCTGAGATCGCTCTGAAGTTACCACAGAGCATCCTCTCTTTTATAGAACTTACTGAAGAGGGAGAGCCAGGGTCAAGGGTACTCAAGATCTATGTGTAAATTTCCCACTAACTTCAGCAGTTGAATTGCCTAGCTACTAACACAGCCTGGCTAATCCTATACTTCAAATATTGCACGTTAACATATAAGCAAAAGCAAACAAAACAGAAAACAAGGAGAACTAGAACAAAGACACATTTTGTATACCCAAACTACTAATAACTTACTTTCTCCTTTCATTTATATATTCTAGCTCTCCTTCCTCCACAAGGGAGCTTACTCCAAAAAACAAAGAATTACATTCAGCCCTGGTGTGATTTTCACTGTCTTTCACAGAATGAAGAACAATGATTAAGTTCCCAAGTTTATATCACACCCAGCATTACCCAGTGAAGACCAATCATCTGAAATGTGGAAAAGGTTAAAAAGTACCCACCCTACAAGGGTCAGACATTACAGTGCATTCTTCCTCACGTACAATAGCATATAGAAATTCCAACTCATTCGTAACTGCCTGAACTGTGGGGTCTAGGCAGAGAAACCAAGAACAATGGATCTTTTACATACTCAGTGGTCAAAAGGCTATGATACTAAATCTGATGAACAATGAAAGTACATATGCAGCTTAAATCCAGGTTGTCCATTGACTCTTTCTTTTTCAAACGTTATTATGTTTAAATACTAATAAGCTCTTGCCCTGGTTCCAAGCCACTCTCTGCTGAAGGAAAGAGGTTTGCCCTCTCCACTTTTACCCAGAGAGCACGACTTTACCTACCAGAAGGTGGAGTTGTGGGAATGTGGGAGGGACCAGAAAAGATTTTTACTGTAACTGAATTTCAGAAAGCAGAATCTGTGCTGGGGCTTTCCATGGAAATTCCAGCCACGTCAATTCTATTTAAGACCTGCAGCTATTTCAGGATGCTTTAAAAGCACCATACAGTGATGCCTTCCTCTTTTATTCATACACAACAAATCTATTCCCAAGGGCCGAAATTCACCCCAGTGCAGAGGACCCACATGTTAGCCTGTACTCCACTGGGCTCAACAGGCAGTGAAAAAAAGCATGTGGGTGGTCTACAACCGGGCATATCACCATTTGCAGACAGTTTCAAGGGAAAATTAACTACTTTTGCACAGCTACAATGATCTTCAGGACAAAGGAGAGGAAAATCAGAGACCACCGCAAGAGAGGAAACCGGTTTGGTAAGTTAGGTAGCAAGAATGCATGAGGTTATCCTCTCCAGTTGCAGCTTTAACAATCATCCTTGCATAGCACGACTGCTTTTCTCTCTCAGACTGCATGTTGTGTCCTGAAAACTCAGCACTCTTCGAACTCTGCTCATTGTGCGTTTGTCCTTCCAACACAAAACCAAATTCCCATAGCAGCTTTGCCTTTGTTTGAAATGGAAGTGAGATGAAAGTGAGACATATTTACAGGGAGTCTTGGTGAAAATGATTGCCAACAGAAAGGAAATTTTCCAAAACTGAAAAACCAGTGCTAAGCTTGATTATACCACATTTATTTCTGCAGTTATTCGGGGATTTTAAGCAAAAAAGGATTCTGAATTCTAACACTTTTAACAGTTATTGTTTGTACTGAAGTACTGTTTCAATACCTAATAAAGGTGTGTTCTGGAAAGAACTACATACAAAGTAATAAAAAACCCATAGAACATTTCCTACCTGACAGTAATTTGGCTTACCAATAAAATGGTTTGTATTCTAAAGGTGAAACCAATAACAAGAAGAAATAAGAGACTTACCAAAGAAAGGAGTTATAGAAAAGTAAATCAGGTGATAATGGTTATAGGCCTCAATCCTAACATCTTTCCAGATTCCTTGAGTGGGAAAAGAAGGGCCCCAATCCCAACTAAATGAGCATTGCTCCTGGAAAACAGAATGATTATGTTACAAATGCCTGTTTTTCACAAAGACATTGATGCTGTGCCAGAAATAAAAGACATTTGCTATCTGGGAATAAAATACTGACATACACTGAAAGAATTTTTCCAGTTTCTATAAATCCAGAAGATCCTACAGTATTTTTTTCTTACTTCACAACCAGAACTTTGCTGCTACAACCTGGATTATACAAAAAATTAAACATCCATGTGTGGAGAAATTTTGTATTACCGAAAGAGCGAAACAACACTTAGCATACCACTAAAAAAACACCATCAAAATCCCAAACAGTAAAGATCAAAAAAAAACAATCCAGGAGATTACTCTCAATTCAGCTGTGAATTATCTTTGTTTGTAATGTCACTATTTAATTGTACCTAAAGACAAAGTAAGCAGAAAACTGACAATTAGAAATGTTACAGTATTGTAGAAGAACAGTATCAAATTAAAAAAACATATATGAAATAGTTTATGTCCTATTTTTAGTTTTAATATGACAGAGTAATACAAGGAAAGAAATGGATATGTCTGGAGTGTTTGTGAAGTTCAGTCATGTTCACTGTTTCTCCCCTTTTTATGGTTCTGTTATACAAAAACAAAGGGAACAAAAACATGGTTGAGAAGTAGCTTAGTTCTGGTACTAACATCAGAATAACTGTCAGAATTATAAAATGCTGGTCAGGCAGAGAAGAACGTACACTAATTTCCATTTAGCTGTTTTCAAACCTGGTCAGACCTCTACTTAACAAATCCCTTGACAACATCTATTCAGCTGCCCTCCAAGTTTCACACAGCCCCAGCCCCCAAAGCAAATACAATAGATCTCCTAAAGTCTTGTACAGTGACACACAGCTCTAAATTTAGAGACTAATAACTTACAGCCAAGGCATACTAATTTGGGCAAACCACATTGCACAAGCCTGGCCTATCCCTTGTGTTGCCAGTCAGCCTCCCTGTCTATCAAACTGCAAAAGAGCCTTCCAGGAAGCAAACACTGCACCTATTTCAAACAGAAAACTAGGGATAATATATTCTTAGAAAACATGTCCAATTGAATGTCATTTTCCCTTTATAAAAAATAAACCAATTAATCACTGACAGACCAGCAGGTTTCACTAAAAATACTGCAGAGACTGCTATCAGAAACAGTATGTCACAAGAACAATATGCCTGTATCACTGGAGTACGTTAGCAGTGACAGGTTTGTGTTCTGCCACAAACTCCTACTCAGACTTAGGTAAGTTTATTGCACTTAATACTGCACCTGAAATGTGTAAACAGCTCTCCATTACTTTCAGATGGGAAGCAACCAGCTTATAGCAATGTCCTAGTATGTTTGTTTAGTTTTAGATGTGACATAGCTGCTCTTGTTGCCAATACTTGGAATTCAAAATGTTTCTGGAAATCTCTGGAGCAGTTTCCAAGTACAGTCAAAAAATTCATTTGAGGAAGAAGCATTAGGGTACTTTCTAACAAATTTAAAGGTATAGTTCAGCAAAACATAAAATAATTCCAAGTCTCTTTTGCTCTATAAATAAGACCAGAGCTTGAGTAAATGCCCCATTCCTTCCAAGCCTTTCCTTGGGCTGATTTCTGAGAAACACAGTGGACTCAGAAGAACTAATAAACTTTCTAAAATGTAGCAAAAATAAAAGTAGCAGCAAGCAGAAATAAATACAGCCTCTTAACCCTAAAGGATCTTTCCTGGACAACGTGAAGTCTATGTTTACATTAATAAAATTTAAAGGAAATTATATCCAGATTTAAATACCAGATTTACAGAATCCTAGTCATTTTTTGAGAACACTTTAGAAGGGCTTTATTAGAAAGTTTGAAAATAATTACCATGAAAGGCATTTAAGAAGAGACAAATACGCAAAAACTCCCAAAAAGACAAATTAGAAAATAAAATCATCTATCAGAAGTACATGAGCTATCAGAAATACATGAGATGCTACTCAAATGATAGTTTGCCCTAAGTTAAGTTTTAACAGTGAAGAAGCCATATCTTAAATCAAGGTTTCTGAGTTTCATTAATTTATATTACACTGTTGTTTTCATTGAATATTTACATATAAATCACACTTCACAACAGTAATAAGATGAGAACAGGTCCCCAGTTAGATAACACTTCTTGGCACGTGCCAGAGCTGCCCAATATAAATAGCACAGCACATGAGCAACAGCAAACACTCACAAAGCTGCTTGGATGAGATTTTTACAGCCTTGGCTATAACACACTGGTATTTGCAACAGTGAACTCTATTGTGAGTATACATTGCTAAACCCACCCAGTGGATCAAAATGGAATGATTACACATTTCCCAATGCTATCCTGCCCTCTTAGCAGCAAGTCTCCTTGCTGTCTCTTTGATGAGAACAGCCTTCTAAACATTCTTATCACTTAGATATGAAGCCTGGCCTTCTCAGGCCTCCTGTATTGTCAACATACAAGACTACAGGTTTCTAGGGGGGATGGGAGAAGGAAGCTGCATGAAAAATATGCCCTACTTATAAAACAACATTGCAGGTTACAGAATACAACTGTAAGGACAGATTGTGGTGCACTCTTCTTTTCCAGCCTGAAGCCAGAGACAGCCAATTCTGCCCCTACCTTTCTGATGAAATTAACGTGGCACTCTCCTTTCTGCACAGGTGGAGGGCACGCTGGGGGGATGCTGTGTGCTTTGTAACATCTGCTCTGCTCAGCTGCATATGAAACGGCTGACAAGAAACGGACTTCAACAAAATTGACCTCCTGGATCATGCTGGTAATATCAAAGCTCTAGGACAAAACACAGAACAAAACCATTACACTGCTGACATTTATCTATGATATTTATAATCAGTAATACATGGGGATTTTAATACCATACATATATTATTCAAAAGCTTTTGAAATATAGTCTCCGGTTATAGCATGCTCCGGTTTTGAAAGAAAAGAAAAGCTACTTTGTAAACTGAAAAAAAGAAAATACACAGTAATGTTCTAGATAGAAAGAAATGTTTCTGGGCAAACCACTTTCCTCACACCAAGCTCTCATTGCAGGTTGCAGTATTTTGCTTGCACAGAGAAGTACTTGAAGGACAAGGACAGCAAGAGAATCTTTACCCTCATTCCTCATCCAGAACCCATCTGCATCTTTGGAAAGACACCGTATTCCAACTCAGAGAGCTGCTCCATACAGGAGTGCTTCCAGCTCACACTGTGCTGCCAGCTCACCTACCACAAGGCACTGAGCTGCCTCGTCCATGAATGCTGCAAAGCAGTGTTTCATTCCCCAAAATGAAATAAGTTGCAATCTAATCCCCCAAATGTAAGACACCCATTCTATGCCAGCACCAAATGAAGCATCTGGGGGCTTCCTCAGCAGGTCACAAAATCCCATTCAGTGTGGCTGGAGAACAGGAGAAATGTTCAGTTTCAGAATTATCCTGTGCTATCAAGACAATATGGTTCCAATGGCTAATACCCATTTATTCCTCAGAGTACTCCTTTGTGAAAAGCCAAGTCTTGGCCATTTTTCTTTAATTTGGGAGCAGCCCAGATAGAATCACTTCTTTCTGTAACACACAACAGGATATTAGAAAGCAAATAGCATTCCCCAATCCAGAGCCTTCAGAGTCCTTCCTGCAAATGTTGTTGCTATGTGGAACAGCTGAACAAGGCACAAGCCTGGGTCACAGTAACTCCAGACTCAATTTAATGCAGCACACTGCTTTTACAGTGAAGGCCATTTCATGAATTGTAACAATCTGATACAAAATTAAGTTGCAGAAATATGGACAAAATAATACCACATCCTAACTTTCAGAGCCTGCTACAGACAAACCTTTAGATACTCTCCAAACAGGAAATAATTACAATTACATAAAAACTCTACAAAATTTTTTATTTCACTGATGGTAAAACTATGTCAAATAGAAACTAAGTGGTTTGTCCCAGGTCACACAGATCCAGGTGGCAGAATGTCTTATGTCTCGGTCCAGTGCTTCTGCAATAAAAGCTGCCAGAATGGCAAATGCTAAGATATGGAGACACCAGATTTCATTTGTAATTCAGTTATTCCACTACCAATCTTCCTTTAACTCTTCAGATTTTTTGATTCCTTTAAGATAAAAGCAAGAATTATTCCTTATGTTAATACCAGAATAATTTTGTATTTTAAAGCTATGAAATTAGTTTGAATGTTTTTGCCACTCTCAAGATCATTCCATAATGAATACTCTCATGACATAAGTGAAACTCAAAAATGCAAGACAATGTTATCCAAAGTACCGTATTAAAAATAAACCACCCTCTTTAAAAAACAAAAGCATGAAAGCACACACAAGCTTTACAGCACATGCATTTTCATTGCAGTATTGACATATAAACCATTCTAATACCAATTATTAAGCAGATTCACAGCTAATAAAACAGATTTAAGCTTAGTTTTCTTGGAGGCGGGACAGATCCCAAGAAGCAAGAGGTATTATTAGCTGAATTGATCCTCTTGCATTGGTCCTCTCCTTTAGGATAAGGCACAAACGCACATTCACCTCTAGATGTGACCCTGCTGCTACTGAAAAGGTAAGTATACTTCCCTTTCTAACATTTACCTAATTGTACATGCAGTCCTCAAGTCAACACTTTCTGCATCCAAGCACCTACTTTGATGGGTACTTGAATGTACTGGAAGTGCTCAGAACAAAAGGGCTTTGAAGAAAACACAGAAGCACCTCTAGCAATAAACACATTACTTACATATCTGTTGAACATGTTGTCTGTTCTCCCGAGAGTGACATTGTTGAGCAGGATCTGTGCCACTGTATCTACTCCCTCAAAAACCAAATTCACTTTCTGCCACTTTCTACAAAAGAAAACATATGTGTGAAAAACTGTCAGAATATCTAGAGTTAAAACACACAGGAGATAGACAATGTAGAAATGTGCATCACTATTATACCAGCAGTTGCCACAGCTACTTTTGACTCAGTGTAGCTACATTGTACCTTTAAATAGTCAAATTAATATGACAGCTAAAGTAGCTCAAGTCAGCATGCTCAAGAATACATCAGGTTCACATACCCACCAGATATTACGTGGGATAGCTTTCAATTAGCCTAAGTATAATCTTTTTACAGCTGACAATTCATAAGTAATTTTTAACAAGCAATTAAAAAAAAAATCAGCAATTAAAGTGTTCTGTAGCAACAGCTTTGCAGCTGCACATGATTGCATAATTTGTTTTATCAGATATAAAAGTATTAAGCAGATTTTGAGCTGATGGATTAACTTGCAATTCTGCATGAAAGATGGCAGAGAACTAATTTATACATATCTTTACTGCATACCTGATGTCAAAAGGAGTTTTGAACATCCTGCTGTAAGTCCAGTTATCTAGTGAGATCCATCTGTACATCACATCATTAAATCTATAGTATGGATCCTAGTGACAGAACAACAAAAAGAAAATTACATTATTTATTTAGTAATAGTGTTGCTGCATAAAAAGCATCACAATATCCATTAGATGAACAGTTCTTGTTTCCATCAGTCTGCAAATGCAAAATCCACCTTAGTTAGTTAGTCCTGATACTCGTTTTCACCCTTGAAATTTTACATGAAAGCAAAGCTTTAATAATATTTGACTTTATTTATATAGCTCAAAACCCTGTCTGCTATAATCACTCAAACTAGAAGTAGAAGGACTTGTTTTTACACAAGAAATTACTGGTCTGGAAATTAACCAATAAATCCAGAGAGCTTGTGACTTAATGAGAGGAACAGAAACATGATCACCCTCATAATTATGGAGAAAGTAAGACTAATAGGATTTTAAGAGGCAGAGAAACAGCATTTTAGGCCTTCAGGGACAGCAGTGAACAAATCTCTAGTTTAAAGTTACTGCAAATAATCCAGTTGTTTCTTGTCAGCAAGGCTGGCTGTGGCAAGGATAAATGAAATTCTTGTATGTGGAGGGATGGAGAAAGAGAAGAAGGAGAAGCAACACCATTTTGGTAAAAAACTAAATGACAACTTTTGAGAGTGGTATTGCATTTACATCAAATGTGCCCTTCTCCCTTTAACCACACTACCTAGGAAGAATAGAAGGCATGGTTGGTCTAAGATACATCCTCGGCCTTTCTGGCTTCATGCTGTACTACCTTACAGCAGGTCACCATGTCCGTCACCCAGCTTAAAGGACCTGACATGCCACGGCCTCACACCTCCCACAAAGGCAGCAGAAAGGTCCTGTCCCCTGGCAGAGAGCAGAAAGGCAGTGTCTCATGCTGTGTCAGAGAGCAGTAAGGCACAGTGTCCCATGCTGTGTCAGAGAGCAGAAAGGCAGTGTCCCATGCCCTGTCAGAGAGCAGAAAGGCAGTGTCCCATCCCCTGTCAGAGAGCAGAAAGGCAGTGTCCCATCCCCTGTCAGAGAGCAGAAAGGCACAGTGTCCCATGCCCTGTCAGAGAGCAGAAAGGCAGTGTCCCATGCCTGGCAGAGAGCAGACAGGCAGTGTCCCATGCCTGGCAGAGAGCAGAGAGGCAGTGTCCCATCCCCTGGCAGAGAGCAGAGAGGCAGTGTCCCATCCCCTGGCAGAGAGCAGAGAGGCAGTGTCCCATCCCCTGGCAGAGAGCAGAGAGGCAGTGTCCCATCCCCTGGCAGAGAGCAGAGAGGCAGTGTCCCATGCCCTGTCAGAGAGCAGACAGGCAGTGTCCCATGCCTGGCAGAGAGCAGACAGGCAGTGTCCCATGCCGTGTCGGTGCCGGTACCGGCTCCCTGCCTGCCAGCCCGGTTCCAGCCCCTGCAGCAGCAGCACGGCTGAGCTGCTGCCCCGAACAAAGGCCAGTGACTCAACCCGGCTCAGAGAGAGGGGAGCAGCGTTAAGGATTGCTTTGATAGGAGTGTTCTAACAGCACCAACACACTTAAATACCCACCCTGAATATCCTCAGCCACACTGAAAAAATCAGCTTTTTTTTTTTCCTTTCCTACTTGCTGGAAGTTATTTTTTCTCCCCATTTCGAGAGTCGGTATGCATAGTAACGACATTTGGGATTTGAAATCTTCTGAAAAAAAAAATTCTTATACCTCATATTTATTTTACAATGAACAGGGTCAGGCTCTGCAATAAACACATAAATCTATTTACCTAGCAGAACAAAATCAAAACATCTAAGTGACTCTCCTCAGCAGCACAGACCCTTCTGGAGTCCTACAGCAATAGAAACATCATTCCTTGGGCTCATACAGAGGGAAAGGTGTCACCCTGCCTCTACATGCTACACTCTATCAATCAAATTTCCTACTACAAGAGAAGATTCAAAAAGGAAAAGCCTTGCCACCTGAGTAAAACTATGACTTCTGCATTGATAATACAGTGTATTCTTTAAAAGGTAAGTCATCATGAGCTTACAGGACTATTGCTGAATTTTAAGACATCCATTCCATACTTTCGGGGAATATATCTCAGACTTTTATTGAGATGGAAAAGTTAAAGCAAATAAATGTATATTAATATGCAAAATTTAGCCTTATAAAAGAAACTTCACTGAGATCATTGTACTCAGGTAATGAGAGGCAAGCACAGAATGTCAGAGACCGTGAAACCCCACAATATGTACTTTAAAAAGCACATTTTTGACAAGTGTTGCTTTAACATTATATACCATCTTATATACATTTACATATATATACATATTCGTATTTAACATTACATGCTATTTTATTTCACATTATGCTTTGAAAAATGTGCATGTTAAATTTTAATCTTTGTCACTTGTATATATGAAATATTTAACAAAAGATGTGAAAGGAAAGTTGCAAATGCATTACCAACAGCAGACTGTAAAGCCATTTGGTTAATGGTCACACAATCAACATCAGTGCCTCGCCAAAGTTGCACAAAAGAAACCTGCACCATTTCTCCCACAAAAGCACAGATACAGAGATGTTAATGAAGAAAGTCCTAACTTCTGGAAAACACAAAACTGGTTGTCTAGCAGCAGAAACGCAGGAATCTTTTATCAGAGGCAGAAATCATTGCCAAATGGGCTCTTACAGGATCTTACAGAGTGACATGTTTAAATCTCAGAATATACTGAAGATACTTCTTCTGGAAGGAGCTTTCTTCTTTACTAGCCTAAAGCCTTCAAACTTCAAGAAATGCACTGACTGCTAAAATAGGTGTCATAGAAAGTGCAAATATGCCCTTTTAGATGGAAAGCTCACAGTTCCGTGTACCTTCATGTAAAACTTAACAGTTTACTGATACCACTGCTACCTAACCAGTAAGACAGCTCATACATCACATAAAGGCTGTTAAATGCTAATAGCTGGTCGGCCACTTTAACATGACAAATGTTGAGTGTTGTAAAATCAGTCGTGGCAATGTTCAAGCAATGCTTTTAAGACAATTCTAAAGGTTCAGGAGAAACGCATGATCACAACAAAGTCATCTAAGAAAGCAGAATTACTTTGCCAATACACTTGTGAGGTTATTGGCTTTTCCATTATTAAATACAACTGCTCTAAGTGCTGGAAGATGTAACCGTGTAAGTCAAATTGTTTGGATTTGTCCGAAACAGAATTTCATCTCACTTTAAATCATTTCACATCAAAATGAAAGGCTTAGTTCAGAAAAGTACAAGTAAAAAAAAAAAAACCAAAACAAAACAAAACAAAAAAAAAAAAAAACACCAAAATTTAAGTCACTTAAAGGCACAGGGAGAAATTGAAAGATGGTAGGAAATAGGTTGCACATCTATTAAATACACTTCACATTCAATAGCTCAACAGCTCAGTGTGTTCCTGGAAGCAATTCATAGAGGGGTGGAGTCCACTATAGCTATTTTTAGATCTCACCAAACATAACAGCCTTGCATTTTCCTGCTCCCTGCAATTTGGGGGAAAAATCTGAAGTATTCAAGCTGCCTGCCTGTTTGCTCCCTGCTCCCAGCCTCAACGCTGTAAACAAGGAGCAAATCACTTTCTAAGAGGAGGTTAAAAGCCCTGCTACAGATCATCAAAAGGAAGCAATTTCCAGGTCGGCTAACTGGACATCAGCAGGACTTCAAAAGCACTGGCACCACTACAATGAAGAACTGCCAGCGCCCAGATGGAAGGCTCTCCTTGCAATGACTTTAAGGGGATATTGAAAAGCTACGGTGATAAAAGCTAAGAGCTTCTCCTGTTAAGCAGGAAATGGATGAGACAAGCCCAACTGAGCGAGCGAGTGGTGCCAGGCATACCCTGGCCCAGTGAAAGGACACCTCCCGGTCACCCAGGCTCCAGCAGTTCTGAGGAGCATGGCACAAACCCCTGAATGACACCAGGGTCAGCTGTACCCAGGTGGAAGATCTGCGTGTAATAAAATGAAATTTAATAGAGAGAACAAAAATCAGATTCTTTTGCCTTACCCTGTTTTCTTACAAGGTCAACTTGCATGCTCTTCTCTCATAAATTAACTCTGCTGCTATTTTATCATGTACACTGTAAGAAAATTCTGATGGTGCAACAGATCACCAAAATAAAATTAGCAAGTGATGTTTCATGATTTACAGTTTAATGAATCTGCTCTGGGCAACTTCAGATTGAAAGGTAAATAGTTAATATATACTTATCTATACTCATGTGCTCCTTGATATCACAAGCGACAGCAATCAGGACATTTATATAATTTTCACAGCTTGAAGTCAGGCTGAACTAACAGTAGTGATGAATGGACCATATCTTCAGAGTGTGAATTTTGGAAGTTCCTCCTAAAGTAAGTAAATTTCAGTAGCTGCTCTCAGAAAGCAGTAAACTGAATGTCACTGTCAATGTTCAGGATGTGTCACAGCAGAACACTAGGCCAAATATGACTAAAGAGGTAACACAGTAATACCCACTGCTTAATATTACTTGAATACTTGGATGTATTTAACAAACCACTAGAAATCTTACCTCTTTTAACATCACAAGCTTTTGAAAGAAAAAATTAAGTGTCATTTAATATTTATGCTAAGATTTACTAGGGGTTTTGAATGTTTGCATGTGTTCTCACAGTTCAGCAGAGCACCTGTATTTCAGTGGAAAATAATATAATAAACAACTATTCCAACAATGAATGCCATCTAACCTGAACAGAACCATAAGATATCAAATGGAATTGTTATCTGGCTTGTTCCAAAAAAATCTAAGCTGTGATGAAGTGTCAGAAAACAAACAACAGCATATTTTATACAAATGCAGAACAAGATACAGAAAACCACATTACTTTCCAGAAATGTAGAGCTATCAGTTGGGGTACATAAACTTCTGTCTCTTCTAATAAATTTTGATATTCAAGTATGACCAAGAGCACTGTTCGCTTCTCTGTCAAGTGCATGCTCTTGTCTAACAGGCCAGAACATGCAGTGCTACCCAGCCTCTATATCAGCATCACACTTGCAGAGCTCTCATAATACTCCATACAAGTCTAGGTGACAACTAATAAGACAGAACAGCCTTATGTATAAATGCAAATGGCTGTCATATGGGAAAATCCAGCTACAACAGCCATATTCCTCAGAACAGGAAATTTACAGGAGTTACCTGCCAATAAGAGATAGCATTGTGCAGAACCTGGACAGTATGTGGCAGAGGATGCCTATTTTCAGCACACAGACTTAATAAGCAAGTTACCTGTGGGTACATATGGCTTACGAGAACAGTGCCTGAAAGAAAATACTACACTGACAACAGTGGTCAAAAGCAAAACTTTCAGACAAAATGGTTCTGGCCAATCTTTTTCCAGAGCTGTAGGGCTAGCAACAGATTCACTGCAAGTTTGTAAAATGTCTTCATTCAAAACAAAGCTTGGCCTAACTTTACGCAAGTTACTATTAGTCTTCTCTATGTGCATTTCTCATGTGTTTTCTCAATTTTACATGTAAATAGTAGTAAGAGCTACAGTGTCTTAATGAAATGTTATTAAAACAATCAAGCCGAACACATACTCTGATGCAATCTCCTAGCCCTAGAGCTTTTATCATAGTATTTGAACTACACTGATTGAACATAAAGAAAATACTTTCGTTGGAAACTCAAGTCTTCCCCAAGAGCATTTTTTGAGACATGTGCATTTGGTGTATTCAGAAAGACATGTTGCTCTAATGTACATTTTATGAGCCAGAATAAAGATATCTGTAGAACAAACGCTAAGAGGATCCAGAGAGATGAGTAATGAACCCTCAGCATCAGAGAGATTTTTTCAATTCCAGTGTATGGCTTGCACAGCAGATTAAAGTAAGGCTACAGACACGCAATCAGCTAGAGCATCCCTGTGCAAAAACAGTTTGTGTGTCGACCTAAATTTGAAATGAACCACACAATGATAAATAAATTGCTTGCAGCCTAGTCTTGCAATCTAAGCCATGTTCTGAAGGCTTAATATTAATCAGCATCCCCCTGCTGCCCTCGTTCCCCTCATTGTGAGATGCCCACTAAGCTACATTGTTGGAGTTGGCCCTTCCAAACTCTGCTTTAAATTTCTTTTCTGGGTGCTAACCCACTGAAAATCTCACGGATACAAAAGCAAAGGATGCAGTGAGATTTGCCACTTCCAAATCACACACAAAAATAGCATGTAGATTTCACCAGGTCACTGAACATAGGGTTCCTGCTATCCAGAATGATTTTGTTCCCACTAGCTTTGTTCTCCTATTTCCTGGTACAGCTTTTCAGATCAATCTCTACTTTTGATTACAAGCTGGGTTACTGATCTAGTGACATCTTCTGTAAAATGAATCAAGATCCTATATTCCATTGCAGAGTAAAAGGAGCAAATGAAAAAAATACTTAAGACCAAAACTTGTATTTAGGCATCTATAATAAATCTCCTACTTCTATACTTGACACAACACCAAAAAAGGCTGATTTCCAGAGATAATCAACTCTGAAAAAATGGAACAACCAGTGCTCTATGCCTCTACAATTAGGGCAGTGTGTATGCTTTTGTACAAATAGGAATATAGGAACATGATTTTAGGCAGCTGCACTTGAAACCTTTGGTCACATTCAGCACAGTGAAGAAACCTCAGGACAAACAGCTGAGCCCCCCTCTGCAGCACAAAGCCTCACACTGCAATAATGAATGATGTCACTGACTCATTCTGAACAACTCAGGCTTGCTGCTTTGCACAACGCAAAGCATTTAACACCATCTGCAATAGATTTCAAATCTGCTAAGGTTTCTCCTGTTTTGGTATAGTCTGCATTCCATCTTTTAAACAAAAATGCGATTTTAAAACAATTTAGTTATCCTGGTGCAAATTTGTGTGAATGCTTCTTTCTGTAAACTGAGCTTTGCTAAACTGAGTAAGAATATGTTTAACCTGACTTAAGTTACCTGTACACACCTATATATAGAAACAGGTCATCTCATTTTGAGCTTGGAACTAGTCAGACACCAGCTGGGTCCAGTCCAGAGATTAGGCAACCACACTAGTGAACCATTTTGATTAACTCAGCACTTCAACAGCAACATCACCAACTTGGCAACAGCTTCCAGTCCACCAGCTGTACCAGCACGTGTTTGGGGCAAGTTCTTACTTGTATTCAAGTAAATATGTTCTAAGTGACCACAACCAACCATCATTGATTTAATTAGCCAAGCACCCACTGCTGCCCAGCTCACTGACTAAGCTCTCATGCCTCTGTGCAGGCTTGGGATTCTGCCCAGGCACATGAGAGTTCATGATCCTCATTTCCAAATACACTGCTAAATTACAAGTCAGTTTGCAGCAATGCATTTAAATTAGCAATCACATCTTCTCACTTCGTAAGTGTACTTAGTGTGAGTAGTTAAATGTGAGTCTTTCATTACATCACTGTCTTGTGTGCCTGAGTCAGTGCATTGGTCACAGTCTCTCTCTCCTGATGATTATTCACACTTCTTGCAGCAACACCTCCCAGCACAACCAAACATCCCAGACGTTCGCGTGCACTTCTGCATCAGAGAAACCAGCACAGTTCCCTTCACCGATCCTCCACATAAAGTCTCCCTGCCCTCTGCATATTTGCCAACTACAGAAGAGTCCTTCTGAAACCTTAATTCTCAGTGTCCAAGATGTCACATCACTTAGCACGCAGATGTCAACAGATCATCATAGCTCTCCCTATCCCTTCATAGCATAGTTCTTTTTCCGGTGTTGATGCTCTGTATCTGGCAGTGACACTCTCTGGAATCTATTATTAGTGCTGGGATTCCCAACCTGTGCCAACACAGAAAATGCTAAAATTATCCTGCCCAAAGGGTGTGTCTTTCTCCTTTTACTTCTCTAATCAGAGTATAATAAGCTCAAGCCTAAACCCCAAGAAATAAAAATACAAAATGTGTTGTTATTTAAAAATACATCCAGAATGTGTTTTTTAAATAAATGATGCATAAGAACTGCACCATTGGGCCCACATAAAGGAAGGGTAATATGATATACTCACTCCATACAACAGTACATTTTCCAGCACAGAACTGTATTTATCACCTTTATAGGTGACTTTGTTAACTTCACTGTGTTTTTATTTCTTTCTTTGTTCCAGGTACACAAGAAGCTTTTCCTTGCTCCAGGTACACAAGAACCTTTTCCTTGTTTCCTTTTAAAAAGGTATCTTATTTCAACAATGATCCAGTGAGTGCCACGTTTCTTGTCAGGTCTGAGTCACACGCACCTTGTGCTAATATCAGATTACTCTGCTATCCATCTGCAACTGCAGTTTTGAAATTTTTTCCAAGAAAGTAGTTGTTGTGCTTCTATAAATTTAAAAATCTAATAGAGACAAGCATAAACAGAAGCAGAAAAGGTTCTTCAGAGTGTTGAGACAGGAGTTAGTCCTTTAAATTTAACTTTTTCTGTTTCAGACTATACTTTCCTTAGGTAGAATGGGTGTATATATGACCTCCACTGTTACGATATTCCCCACAAGTTTTAAAGGGGCTTTTAATAGCCTAAATTCACTAAACTTATTGCATCAACGAGTCACACTTTAGGAGTGTAGGTTTCACTCTTCATTCTTTTGAGGTACCGCTACAGGTACACATGACTTACAGGCTGTGAGGGTACTACAGGTATCTGGTGTCAGCACCTTGGCTACGTGTCAAAACCACAACGTCACATACTGCAAAGCTTCCATCTGTATCCTCGGCCTTATGCGGGACTGAGGACACTGCAGCCACCAAACGAAGCCTGGCTGCTGCGCCGGCGATGCCAACCAAGCCTCAGTGGCCGGGCAGCTGCCGGGACGGGGCTGTGTGTTGGGGGGCAGGGTTCTCTGCCCTGGCGGGAAGGGCCGCACCAGGGCCCGGCTCTCGGTACCGTACCTGGATGAGGCCCCGGCCGAGCAGCGCGGTGTGCACGCAGCCCGGCACCTCCGCTCGGAGCGCCACCGAGCCGTTCCCGCTGCGGAGCCGCCAGCTCCCCCGCAGGCTGCGCACCTCCGGGCCGCCCGCGGCCACCGCCAGCGGCAAAAGCAGCGCCGGCAGCAGCAGCGCGGCCAGGCCCATGGTGACAGCCGCCGCCAGCAGCGAGCTGGGGCGGTGCTTCCAAGGGAGCAAGGGAGGGAATGGGAGGGAGGACGCCGGCGCTGCTGAGGGCGGTGCAGCGCGGCTGCGCGCGGGGCTGCGGGCGGCACGGCCGGGGCGGCGCTGCGCGGAACGCGAGGGGGAACGGCCGGGCCGCGCTCCCGCCACGGCTGCGGCGGCTCCCGGCGCGCAGCCCTGCCCCGGCACGGCGGCCGAGGGGCGGGATGGTTTGCTTTTCGCTCCAAGAGCCCCGGCGGAGCAGTGGTAAGGGGAGCTCCAATGCGGTTAACCAATCTCTCAGATGCAGCAAATACACTCGGAGCTCTAGAATAGGCAGGGAGGCGGGAAGGGATGAGGAAGAGCTGTGACAACACCGCAGTGGGTTCTCGCAGTATTGGCTCCCCTCGAGTCGTGAGGCTTTTATATGGTTTCAGACTTCCACATACTTTTTTCCATAAAATTACAGAGGCATATAAAATTGTAACAAACGCCATGGACATCTCAAAGTACTGTGGTTTCCTCATAAATCATGGCTGTGGATTTTGTGTATAAAAATTCAGTAACTTCCTCTGCAAAAGGACAGAAGCATCAGCTCCTAAGAAAGAACGTACAAGAGGTATGGTTTTCAGATCACACTGTAGCTTTCCTGTGTGCCCTTGCTAGGTTAATTCCCTTCATTCACAGCCCAAAAGCAGGAATTAAAGCAAAAAGTTTTTAAATAGATCTGTGGAAGGCTCTAGCTACTGTCCAGGTGTAACACCCATGGTATTTCATGCTCTCTGCCCACTGCTCCAGGGGGTGCAGGGGCTTTTAGCTCATCTCCATTAATTGGGAATGTTTCACGCCAGGCCCCCCCAGACTGACAAGACAGGAACACCAGAGTTTCGGTTTTGCTCCTGGCTTTCACACACCTATTCAGCATACTGTATGAATCCACCCTAAAATTTGTCTTTTAAGGCATGACTGAAACATGGTCAACATGCCTACATATTTTTGATGCAAATCCCTTTGAGCTGACAACCCTTTGTTCCAATGCAATACAAAAATGTCAGTCCTTCCACTCACCTCCAATAAAAGATATACAATCCAGACACAGTTAATATTTTCACCTGTGAGAGCACAAAAAGGGGTGCAGTTCTGAGAAATACTGACTCAAAGTGAAAGACAGTAGCTGATCTTTTTTTCTCTTAAAACATTTCTGCTGCTAACTTAAAAGAAATAGCTGGGACCCACACCTTTGGGCAGCAGAAGGCCATGCAGAAACTTAGCTGTTAGAACAGTTGCTGTGTGTGTAATTTTAAAGACAGAGCAAGCCACATTCAATATACTGACTAACTGAAATGCTGGTCCTGTTTCAGCTCAACTCCCAGCTGTCTTTTAGTGAGATTGCCAAAAAAGGCTATCATCCTAGACTGAGTTACCCCAATTGGCTTTGCATGCTGTAAATTCAGTCAAAATTATCACCTTCTCTCCTTTACTAGTCCAGACTAGTATAATAACAATATAGTAATAGTATAATGTATAATAAAATAATTATACATTAATAGTATAAAGCCTTACTCTGTTTCTGTCCTCATCTGTCAATGAGTAATGTTTTCAGGGCAATCAAACATTTCAGTGTTCTTTCCTTAAATTCACTGATACAACACTAAAACCATTTAAACACTGTAGTGCTGCTTGAGAGATCTTACAGGACATTATTTCTTAAGAAGCAGATTTACATCTGTCAAAAAAGAAACTGCCTTTTTTTTTTTTTTTTTTTTAGTAAATCTTTTCCAGCAAGTCACATGATAGGTTCCCAGTAAGAAGGAAACTGCATTTCATGATGTTTACTGTACTTCCGTACTTTGCCTTTTATTCTTTCTGCTTAAGACTGACTGGAGCAACACACAAACCAAAAAACCTCAACCTAAAAACAATGCTGTAATTAAGTATTCTGAGAACACGCTGTTTCCTTGTTCAAGATTTATAATTAAGTTAAATCATGTTTCATTTTCATGTCCCAGTTTTAGGGTTTGTTTTTTGTTTGTTTGAGGGTATTTTTAAACAAATGACATTTTTGCTGTTTCAAGATATGAATTTTAAAGGCTGTGATTTAATCTTTTAAAATCTTAAGGTACAAAACAAGACAAACTGAGTACTTTCTTTTAGTGTGTACTATATTAACCCTCTTTCTGAAATACCACAAATTTAGGAGATCATTACAATTCTTATTTTATGATACTGCAAGCAGATTTTCTTTATCAACTAAGACAAAAAGCTGAAGGCAAAACCATGCTTTTGGCTCTATTAGAATAAATTCAGAGCAGTTCCACTGTAGCTGCCCAAATTCTGCCATGTTAATCCAGATGTCCTTTGTTTCCAAATGCTATATAATCTCTGTCATTACAAAAGGGTGCTGCTATTTTCTCTTTCAAATTCATGCTCAATAAGCTCATGTAAGGGTTTTAAACAAAAAGGTTCTCACAGATTTGGATGCAGTACTTCAAGATATTACTGCCCCCACCTGTCCACCCTGTACCATTCTTCTGCTGAAGGTAAACACCTCTGAAGCCACACAGGACTTATGTTCACAGCAGTCCATATCAGGGCATGCTCTCTCTTTTGGTAACTGTGTGCTGCTGCAGATACCGCCACCACAGACCATTTGTCAAAGATGCAATATCAGTGTACACGTTTGTATGAGTGTAAATACCTTCAGGCAGCACAGAATATCCGTAAGAAAGCTCCACAGTTCCTCAACATAATGCCAGAACTCTGTTTTCTGACTGCATCTGTGGAACAGATACACTGTAGAGAACAGTTACTCTCTGCACTGGAGTAAAGATAATATGATGCAGGGAGCTCTCCAGCTATGGATTTCTAAAGGACATTATTCTGTACTTATCTTGAACTCCATCCAAAAGAATGTTAAAAATAAAATGAAAAAATAAATTAAGATTGCTTTTAGAAGATACTATTAATACATCACTAGAAGAGAATGTTGTAGTTCGTTATCATGAGCAAAATACAAAGTGACAATCTAAATGGTAAGCCTGAAGTTTCTTTCATAATTATGGCAAAGTCTATAGGCCACTGCGAGGGGATTTCCTTAGCAAACAAAATTACCCAACACTAACAATCATGAGTAATTAAAAATAAGTATGTAGAAGGGAAGCTACTGCTCCAGGCAAATGCCGTAATGGAAGGGGAAAAGCAAAAAACACGTAATAATAACGTTAAAATTTCAGAAGCAGAAAGACAGGTGATGCCTTCAGTATCACCTTCAACTTCATCAGGTATGCTGGGGCAAAAGCCTGTATTTGTATCTCTACATAACATCTTGCTTTGAGATGCACTTAAACCAAAGATTTAGGTGTCACGTCACCACCTTCCACAGAACAGGCACAAAAAAGCCTAAGGATCTTCAAAGCCAGCATGACCGGATTTCTAAAGTCATGTTATTTAGAAGGCAGAATTCCCACAGCTTTTATTATCTTCATTTTATAAACAATTTTGAACTGATCCTAATCTATTTATAAAATTATGTAACACTGATCATTGCCATGAAACCCTTTGTTTCATAAGCAGCAAAATCAGTGTCTTGTATGGTGCTGTCCAAGCTCCTCCTCAATTCTCATTAAAATGTACTTAAAATATATGGATTCTCTGACACTTACAGAAAATAAGTAGCACAAATGCAGACATTATGAAATAGGTTGTTTAGCCTTTCTTAGAGGCTTAAAACTAGACAGTCATCTGTGACCACAGTAAAACTTGTCCCTGAATGCTTAAAATGAAATCCCTCAACATGTGAGTATCTGTAGGTAGCAAACTTTCCCCATGATGGAAGTTTGAGCGGCTGCACTGAGCCCGTGTGCGTGGCGCTGGACTAGCTGAGAGCAGGACGTACCAGATACATCACACTACATATGAAGCACACATCCAGCCTATTGTTTTAATTAATGTTTTCTATGCAGGTGAGTATTAAGAGAATGTCAACAAAGGTTTGTAGCTGATAAATTGGATGAGTAAATGTAAATGGATTTGGAGTTGCTGAAACAGCTGGGAGCTGCATTTCTTTTTCTAACTTAAGTGACCCCAAACAAACCACTGGGACAGGTCAGGACCTCTGTTTCTCAGACCTTCAGTGTGGCTAATGGTCCTGGCTTCAGCCCTAGGACAAATTCTGTCCCTTCATTTCTACCAAAATGACTCTAATGCAAACACCAGGGAATAGTCAAAATAACTTTACTGGATACTGTGGGTACTCAACAGACACTATTTTTTCCTCTTGAAAGATTAATGATTATTTCATCACCTGTAAGAATTTCCAGAATTCTTAATCAATGAAGTTCTCACTCAAGCAACTCAAGCCCAATTAGACAACATAAGCCAAGATCATGGCTACACAGGCAAAAATATCCACTTCTCTGAATGACTCCAGTGAAAAGCCTTGTACATAACAGAGCTTCATGCTCATGCAGTCCAGGAAGCTGTGTGCCCTATCACTTGCTGCACTGGTACAAATGTCTCAGGAGTAACATTTACAGAAACTGACTCTTGCAAAATCATGAAACAGGCATACTTTTTAATATGGGCTATATTTTTTTTCCCAAATTACTTCATACATAAACAGCACTAAAAATACTACTTTATATATACACCCATCTGTTTAAAAAATGCATTATGTGCTTGATTCTCATGGCAACAAAAAGGAAAAGACTACTGCAGTATACAAAGAGTACTGGAAGGATAGATTATATCTCAAATTGGAAAGGACTCTTAAGGATCATCAAAGGTCCAATTCCCTTCTCCTTGCAGGACTGAATAAAGCTAAACCATATGACTAAGAGGAACATCCACATGTTTTTGAACTCTGTCAGGCTTGATGCTGTGACCATTTCCCAGAGGAGCCTGTTCCAGTGACCAATCACCCTCTCAGTAAAGAACTTTTCCCTAATGTCCAACCTGAAATTCCCTGACACGCCTTCATTCCATTTCCTTGTGTCCTCTCATACTGTCTGACTAGATCTCTTGTTTTGGTACTAGTCAGAATTCTAATATTCTGATACTTGCACTGGAAGAAGGGAAGGCAGGCAGTAGTTT